CCCCGATCGGATCTTTATTTCAAAGACAACTTTCCCAGGGCAGCCTGTACTTTTGCTAATGATATTAGTATTTACATCTGCCTATTGGCCATTTTCGAGCATGCTAAAATGGGAATTAGCGCCTGAGCTCTAACCAAGTGCACTTCAATTCGAAGTTTTGGCCATTGGCAGCCGGTGTTAAACGCCCATTTATGATTGGAATTACGTGCACCCCCGCGGGGTCCATCGATCGAGGGCATCATATGACAATGAGACCCCGCACTTCCCCCTGCGGAATTTCGAGTGCGCTAATTAATTTCAATTAGCGACCAACAAGCCGAGAACTAAGTGTGCGCGGTGTTGTTCAATAAATATAAATATAGGTGAAATCGAGCAAATCGAGCGCAAATACTGTATGGTAATGTGTGGAGATTAATGCATTTAAAATAGTTGCAAGCGGCGTAGAGGGGGGCGAATCTGCGGCATGGTGTCGGTTTGGGTGCAATAACAAGCGCTTTGGAACGTGTTGCCATAACGATTCAATAGAGAGGGACGCACTGAGCCGGGTTTGTGCGAAAGAGAGCGCGCGATCCGCACTGTCACAAGGTTGGATGGATAATTACAGAGCTGAGTGCACAGGTAAATTGCAATAGGTTGACTGCAGCGAAAGCGAACAGGGAAATTGTCAGGCACGAAACAACAATATAATACGCAGGGCGGCGGGACTGTACTCAATTTCCATTTGTTATTCCATGTTCCATGTGATAAATGAAAAATCAACGGGGTCGGAGACTCGCAGCCATGTCAATCCATTAGAATACATACAACACCCATCCGCTTTCGGTTTCATCTGTACGAGTATAACAGTTTGCCCGCCGAGCTTCATTAGTTCAAATGAATTTGTTTTCCAGTCTCAAATTGCACTTGATCAGGGCACATATATGCCTATGTATGGGTGTACATTTGTTTGGAGAAAAGAAATAAGATTTCGTAATTGTTTCCGTTCCCCAAGCGAGCATAAGCATCCAATGAAAATGGTTCAAACTTGGTTAAGTCACTGGCATTCCGAAAGCCTCCCCCCTTTTCCACAATCCATTTGCTGCTGTTATTGAACGCGCGATTTTATTCAATTTTTTATGAGCTAGCAACAGACCCGCTCTATGAGTAATTTATGCTTATTGAGCTTCGATTCGATCCGAGAGTCACCAATTGTAAACACGCCTTTTAATTGAGAAAAGAATCAGCAACAGAAACACATTTTCAGATATAGCAAGTCGCATCCCAAACAAATTATCAAGTTGTAAATAGAAAGTCATAAAAATATTTTATTGCTCTCACTTAGCGGAAGCTCTATATAAAACAAAACCCAACTTTCGATGCTTTGCCATTCTCAAATATAGTTACGTATAATATAATTTTTGGCTTACAAATAAATAGTTAGCTATACCAAAGAAGCCATAACACAATGTATGTAATTCTATGCCATAAGAAGTTAATCATTCTGTTGATTAGTTCCTTTAATCAGTTCCCTGAGTCACAAACAAAAATGAAAACAAATCAAAGTGCGTAGCGGCTAAAGTTTGTTTTTGAGAACAAAGAAGCCAGTATAAAGAATACTGCAGTATATGCAATTATGGCACATATAGAAAGTTTCTTTCTTGTGCTTGAATTATACAAACGTTGCACTTCTTGGTATTCAAGGTTTTATACATCCACACAATATCGGACGTGTGTTTAATAATACCTTTTACCTTTACAGTTTTGTTTTATTTGTTATAAAATGTATGCAAACATGTCAGAAACATATTAATGAAATTTCGCATAATTTATATATATTATCCCTTAAAGGAAAAGCATTCAAGAAAAGATGACAATTTCCATTTTTTAGCCCACGCGTCGTATGCGTAACGTGAGTCGCACATGGTTTCAACTGACCCGTATGCATGCCCATAATGAAGATTGTTCCCAGCACTTTAACTGCCCCATTGAAATTGATAAGTAATCTGCTGAAGCGTTGGATAATTCATGGCGGATACAGAGCAGTGTAGAATACACTGAAGAATGAGCACAGTTTCCACCGCCTGGCAACGGGGCCAAAAACGAATTGTTGCAGGCAATTCAATTGAATTCATTTGTGTCAATTTACAATAAGTAATAGCCGAAGCGAAGAAGACAGGCGGGCAAGTGCTTAGAACAATAAGTGAAATTGAATGCGAACGAAAATTGCATAATTCTATGAGCCACGCGACCTTCGCCGCAGAAGAAAAACAAACTATAAAGTTTGTTTTTGGTGTGGATAGTACAGTGGGGTTAGTCGGGGTTCCGCCACCTTATCGCCAAGTTATTTACAAGCTGTTGACGGTTTATTTCGATGTGGCTTTAAAGCATAAACTGATAGGCATCGATGGCGCGGCGACGAGCAACAGAAGTTGAGGTGAACTGACAGCCCTGAAATACAAGGACACTGCGCTGAAATGTATCCTGTCTCCTCCGCCCACACACGCCCACATTAACATATAAATGCGAGTAGCAGATTAAGAAGGAGCGCAGCTCGCTTCAGTGTAACCCGTACATACAGTAGAACTCCAGGCAGAAGTCCGAGCACTTCACGAGATGAAATGAAACGATCTGACTGACAAACTGGAACAAAGATATGGTGTGGGACTGGAAATTCCGCATATCAAAGTCTCATTAATTGAATGCTTTTCCCGAGTCGGATTGATTATGGCCCAAGTTCGACTGTAGCTGCCAGATAGGCAATGTATCTGACAGATACTGAGGCCAGGCTCATCGGAAAAACGGGCGTTGCATACCAAGCAACGCAACAAGTTGAACGGGCAAAAAACAGCAAGGTAAAACAGTCGAAGCAACAAACTGCGTCATTTTGAAAACACAATATTCTACAAGCTGTATCTGAATCTGTATCTGTATCTGAATCGGGGCAATGGCAGTGGCAAGGAAAGCGTTGTCAGCGTAAAAAAAACGCTTAGCAGCCAAACAAAGCATTGACTGCACAACACGGCGTATGCGCAATTTTCATTTTCATTAACAAAGAAGGCATGGGAACTAGGAAGAAAGGGGGGGTGGTGATGGACATAAAGGGGTGGTCTTAATGGGGTGCTGCGAGGAAGGTGGGGTGGCAATAATTGAAGAGTCATCACTGGTTCATTCAACCTGTTAGCAACGAGGAAATAAAGAACGAAGGAAAGCTCTTGGCCAGCTGGAGAACTCTTTTTGTGTTCTTGTCTCTGCACAGCTCTGTTCCCTCAGCAAAAGATGAATAGTTCAAGGATAGTTATTCATTACACAGAGTGAGCATCTGTGACAGTGGGAAAAACAATTTACGCTCGCAAAGTAGAAAGAATAATGTCGCCTTTATCAAACTTGTCGCATTTACTTAAGTGATGTAGTTTGTAAAAAAATTATTTTAGTTTGAACTTGGCATGCACTTAAATCCTTTGGTATGTCGGATTACTTTAACTTGTTTTTCTTAGTGCATTGCCCTATTTCACCCACATTTCACTCGCTTGCATTTGATTTTTTGGCACAGAATTCTGTTTTAAATGGGGCAGCTAATTTCCCAAAGACACCTGGTGCAAACGGCCACTAATCCACCACGTTTATTTTGACCCCTGAAACTTTGGATATCGGGTGTCCCGTGCTACCTCGTTTCCTCGTTTTAAAAAGGTACTGAGTACCTTGCACTTTGCGGCACATGCAACTTTAATAGCTTGAAATCTAACCGCACACACTGCGGTATAACAGTTTTGCTGCGATTACCGCTATTTCGGATTACATTTCAGTTGGGTTAAGTGTGATTTGCAGGCACACACAGATTGTTGGCCAAGATTGGAGGCGTCGGCCATTTGTGTTCCCACGTAATGCGTTAATAACAGAGCAGCAAATCGAGTTAGCGAATCGGAACACAAATAACGCAAGTTAAATCGTGGGAAGAGGCAAAGTGGCGCCCTCTGGCGTTGACCCACAATATCGGAGGGGTTTCATTTTCCTTCCATGTGAGCGTGTGTTTGACATGGAATTTTTATGAATGACATTGACCAACCACCCAAGTAGAAGAAGAAGAACTGCACACATCCCCCGAAGGAAAGAGAGAAGGAGCCAAAGAGAACGAAAGAAATCTCTTACGACGCCTAACCGCAACAACTACGACGAAAAAGTGCTAACCAAGCCGAAAAACTGTTATAAACCAGAAGACGAAAAGCACATTTTTACGATTTTACGACCTGGCAACAGTAGAAAAACGTTGATAAACAAAATAACTACAAGTATCTCAAAAGGCCCTCTTATCAGCTGCGTGTCGAATGCATTTTATTATTTAGGGGAGCCAACGGTAAAGATAATGCGCGGATTATACAATGGTCGGCGCCTAAAAGGCGGCAGACAAGAGTATCACTTTCACTCAAACACGCACCTAGAGTGACAGACAGTAGAACTCTACTAAATGAGACTTACAGTTTGGGAGTTGTACTGTTTTTACTAATATATATCTATACTTCAAGAGAGATTTCCCTTGATATTTGTCATCTTTTCAATCACAATTGAAAAGTGTCTTTAGGAAAGTTAAATTCCTCTAGAAAGTGTCCTGTAAAAATGAGCGTAGCTTCTGGAAAGTAAAAGTTAACCTTTAACCTAAATCGGCAGCAAAGAGCAACAGTTTCGGTGCTCTTTGTTATAAGAACGTTGTACAGTATAACAGTTCGAACAATTGCTGAGGCCATGTGGCAAAAGGCGGTTACCGGTTTTTCAGGCTTTACCTTTTCAAATGCAAATCAAAGAAAAGCAAAGATGATAAAAAACGAGGGGAGAAAGACAAAAAGACAACCCTTGAGCAAACACAGAGGGGTTGTTTGTCTTGGCTCGCCTCTCTCTCTTTCTCTCTCTCTCTCTCTCCGCCGCTCTGTCGCTGCGATTTGTTTTTGTTTGAATCAGCTGTTTTTTGGGGGCGAGAGAGCGCGAGTGGAGCTTGCGCTCTGTGAGCTTGAACTTCAAATGCAACAAAACGGGCCAGAGAGCAAAGAAGAGAGGGCGAGTGTTTTTACAGAAACTTAGAATTTATCTTTGTATATCGTATAACAGTCGCTTTTTGCTGCCGTTACGAGGAATTTTCATTTTCATTTCGCAGCGGACGGCGCAGCAGTTCAGAACAAAACTCGGGGAATTCAAAATCGGAATCGGAGATTGTTATTTTTCGCCAGATTCGCAAAAAGCAAATGCAAATGTCGCCAAAATGCAACTGCAGCTAAAAGTTGTTATCGAGTAGTGTGTGTGTGCCGCCGAGTGTGAGTGTGTGTGCTTGGTGTGCGCTTTTTATCGATCACACTCCGCTCTTCTACCTTCTCCTTTCTACCTTACCTCCCCGCCCCCTCTCAGACACTCTGCCACGCTCTCCAATCGAATTTCAAAGCTGAAAATCGGAAAATTATACAATTGCATTCGCAAATTACGACGCACACACGTACGTACGTACAGCACCCCCAAAAAAGCTGAGGAAATCACAGAAACGCAAAATCAAAGTCAAAGAAAAATCAAAGCGAAAAACCAGCGAAAATCAAGAAAATTTAAGGAAAACAAACATTTTCTAGTGACCTCAGCTGCAGCTGCAAGTGCAAGTTAAAAATACACAAACAAAGCGGAAGTAGGCAAAAATAAGGCACAAAAAACCGCAAGCAAACTAGTAACGGTTAAACAGAAACCAGCACAAAACCAAGTCAAGCAGTCCAACTGGAGCTAAAATATTAATAAACCAAGCTAAAGGCAGCCGTCGTCTAATATTTGCTTAAATACAGGCAGCCCACGCCTTTTATCGCTAGTGAATTTATAAATTTATCAAACTAAACGAAAACAAAAACTCAATAACAATTGACACACACACAAACACACACAAGCGCAACACAACTGCAGTGGGAGAGCAACAAAGAGCGAGCTTGCAAAGAGCGAGTGTGAAGAGATAAACTTGGGCTCTCTCCTTCGCATTTGGCATTCGCACGCGGGCAGCGACGCCAAGCGGACGTTCCTCCTCCTTCTCCTCCTTCCGCACCCTTCGCACTTCGCACTTTCTAGCCCACATTTTCAACTTCACCAAAACCGCGTGTGTGAGCCCAGGAGCGCCCCTAACCCTTCGTCCGTCCCACCAACATGGTGGACACAAACAGCTCAAATCCCGGCATCGTGGGCGGCAACTCCGCCTCGTCCGCCAGGCTGAGGAGATTCGAGCGGACGGACAGTGAGCTGGCCTGCGAGGAGGCGGCCAGGCTGACGGCGGAACAGAGTCCGGAGGACGAGGACAACCAGGACAACGACGAGGATGACGACGACGAGGAGAGCGTGTACGGCGAACTGCCGCCTCCGCCGGACGGAGGATACGGCTGGGTCATCTGCTTCGCCAGCTTCATGTGCAACATGATCGTGGACGGCATCGCCTACACGTTCGGCATCTTCCTGGAGGAGTTCGTGGCCTACTTTCACGAGGGCAAGGGCACGGTGGCCTGGGTGGGCAGCCTCCTGTCCGGCGTCTACCTCAGCGCCGGACCCATCGTTTCCGCCCTGGCCAACAAGTACGGATGCCGAGCTGTCTGCATAGCCGGCAGCATAATCGCCTGCATAGCCTTCGTCTTGAGTACCTTCAGTACCAACGTGAGCATGCTGATGGCCACCTATGGCTTCATGGGAGGATTCGGGTTCGGCATGATCTACCTGCCGGCTGTGGTGGCCGTGGGCTACTACTTTGAAACCAAGCGGAGTCTGGCCACCGGAATAGCGGTCTGCGGCTCCGGCTTTGGCACCTTCGCCTTTGCCCCGCTGGCCACCTATTTGCTGGAGGAGTACGGCTGGAAGAACGCCCTGCTCATCTTCGCTGGCCTGATCCTGAACTGCGCCATCTTCGGAGCCATGATGCGACCCCTGACCTACCCGAAAAAGAAGAAGCAGAAGCCCTTGATGCAGCGGATGTACGAGGAGAAGCAACTGCAGCTGGAAAGGGGCTCCTTTGCGGGCTCCCACTTCATGGTGCAGCTACCGGACGGAACCATCGAGCGGAAACTGAAGATGCCGCTTAATGCGGATCCCGGCGTGCATTCCAGCTTGAATCTGGAGCTGCTGGCTCAACAGGCAGGCGGCGGAGGTCTGCATCCCGTCTCCACCCTGCCCACCATCACAGAGTCCAAAGTGGTGGATGTTCATCGGCAGAACGGCGCACAATCTCCACCAAATGGCGACAGCAATGGCCAGTTATCCGCTAGATCCGCCGCAGGTGCCGTCGGCCGTCGTCCCCACAGGAACTCGGAGTCGGAGACCAGCCCGTACCACTCGCAGGATGCCATGACGCGGAACGCATCGCAGCCCGCATTCCTGGCCGGAGATCATCAGAGTTTGCCCAAGAACGGATCCGTGCCAGCATTCAACACGCGGGTGAGGAAAACCTCCGCTTCGGAGCGCTTCCAGCCTTCGCTGGCCGCCATCAGGGCCTCTTCTCGCGGAGATTTGGAGGCAGGAGGTGGCGGTGACTTCGTCTCCTCCAAGTTGTCGCTGTCCCAAAGGCAGGGCGGCAGTCAAACTGGCAGCAGCGGCAGAATGGTGCGACCCATGTCCCGCAAGGACATCTTCTACTCGGGATCCGTGACGAATCTGCCGCAATATCAGTCCCAGAAGTCGCTGGCCAACTACAGGAATTCGGTGCTGTCGCTGACCAAGTACGAGAAGAGCATGCAGAGTGTGGCTAAACTGGATCCCTTGGCCGAGGCCGAGAAGCATCGCGAGGAGTATGACCTGTGTCCCTGCCTGGGCATTCCCGATTCCGTGAAGTCCGTGGTCAACACCATGCTGGATGTGAGCCTGCTGAAGGATCCCGTCTTCATGCTGATCGGTGTCTCGAACATATTCGGCATGGCCGGTCTGTACGTGCCCTTCGTCTACCTGGTGGATGCGGCCAAGGAGCACGACATACCCAAGAACGATGCCGCCATGCTGCTGTCCATCATTGGCATCACCAACACCGTGGGCCGTGTCTTCTGCGGTTGGGTGGCGGACTTGCCGCAAGTGAACTCGCTGCTGCTCAACAACTGCTGCCTCCTGGTGTCCACCATAGCCGTGACTTTGACCCCATTGTGCTACAGCTACGCGGCGTACATAACCATGTCCATATTCTTCGGACTGGCCATCTCGGGCTACATCTCGCTGACGTCAATTATCCTGGTCGATCTGCTCGGCCTGGACAAGCTAACAAATGCCTTCGGACTGCTGATCCTGTTCAGGGGATTTGCCGCCTTGATCGGAACACCCTTGGCGGGAGCCATCTATGACATGACGCACACCTACGACCTGCCCTTTTACATGGCCGGTGCCCTGTTCGGCATCTCCACGATAACCAGTTTTCTGGCGCCCTGCTTGAAGAGATGCAGTCCGTCCGAGGAGACGCCCGTGCATGTGGAAACCCTCACGCCCATCGACGAGGAGCAGGGCGAGGATGCCGAGGACGACGAGGATCAGCCCATCACCATAGTGCCCAAGATCATCAAGACACTGGCGAGTCCGCAGCAGGAAGAGGGACATCCACAGTTCCCCCAGAAGACAAGCGAATCGAAGCTCTAAGGCGATTCGATCGGTTGGAAACGAGAGAGAAGTGAATTTACAGGGGGCAGTGCGGAGCTCAAGAGGATCCGGTGAGATATTTTTCTATTTACATATACAGCAGAGGAGGAGGAGATCAGAGATCGAGCACACCTATATACAAAGTTGAGAAGACGGATGGATATATATATATATAGCCGGTCCCACACCATATATATATGTATACCTTTAAGCCTAGGCAACAGCGGCGGAGGATGGCGTGCGGAAAATGCACTTTTCTACCAGGAAAACTCAGCTTAGCTTGCGATAAGATATAGAGAAACCTTCGGCTATATATAAAGTTATACTACGCTCATAAATAACCGATCGAAAACTGATACCGATCGCTGGTAGATTGCAACTGTTATACAGCAACCACAAAATATTGTAAAGTAAATTCTATTATTATTATTATTTGTTTGTTAAACCCTACGATTACTATAATTACCATTATGATTACTATTAAAGATTATTGTGTACTTCTAATAGTTGTTGGCCAGGCGTTATAAATGTGTCATACCGTAGCGGAATAGCCATATAGCGATACAGCGATATAGCGATATAGCGTGTGTGTAAACTAAAGTGTAGCTAAGTAGAGGTGGCCCGATTAACTTAAAGAGCGGCAGCAGCAACTATTTCGAGAAATGATAAATTGTATATTTTTTAAGACAGAACGCTACACGGCAAAACTCAAAGGCGAGTTGAAAACACAAAGGAACCGCAATAAGAACTAAAATTGTTTTCAATTTTACACTCAAATACAAATTTACGGCTCATTTTTGTAAGTTACTTACTTAACTATAAAGTCCAGCAACAGAAAAACCAAGAGCAAATGATGATTTTTAAGGCTTGTGTGTGTCCGTTTTTAACTATCCAAACCTATAGCCTAGTAGCTACGAACCATAAGCAATACGGCAAGTGCAGTTCTATACAAACGAAATTGTTCACGCGGCTAACTAATTAACTAACAGTATAATATGTACCACAAACAATATTCTAAAACTGTTTTACGCATAAGAATGGGGCAACAAGCAACAGTGAGCGAGTGGGAAACACATCAATGTAACATTTAGAACAATAAGTGTTGAAGGAATGAGAAAAGCAGCCAGCAGAATAGTAATAAAAGATATTGCCATACATTTTAAAAACCGTCGAAACGAATGCGTTTTTCTATCTTAGTATATGCGTATTTGGGGGATATGTATAATGGTTTATTGGAAATTGGTTCCTTGGAACTTTTCTTGAGTGGGTTTTCTTCGCAACGTTCGGTGAAAACGACAAACATGGACTTTATGGACTGCGCTCTATGCGAATAAGTGTAAGTACTTGTATCAAGAGGTAACTCGTGAAAGCTTTAGCACAATTATAATCTCCCGGGGAGCGTGTGCCGCTCTAAAAGCCATCGATCAAAAGAGTTTGCCTTGGACTTAAATTAAGGCGTTTATCAGGGACGCCTTCGATGTCGCGGAAAATCAGATCACAACGAGCTTACTCGTAAACCCTCGCCCCAAATGATTAGCCTAATCAATTTGCCACGGAGAGTTATGGCTGCACTAATTGCGGTGGGCCAGGGGAACAGTGGTGCAGTGTAGTTTCATTCTAGTCAGTGGACAAACACTTGGCGATATCGCCGTATGAGAGCCGTCTGCAACGCCAAGTGCTTCGAAAACAGCCATAAAAGAAAAACCTCTCGTCGAACCAACGTAGATACAGATACGGCTATGTTAGCACAACTGGAACCCAATCAGTTGGCAAGACCTCCTCCATTTCGTGTGAGATTCCCAGTCGTTCCATGTGCATTCAAACACGAGAGGTATTAAAAAAAACCAATTAAATATCGCTAAAAATAACCATAAATCAATCAAAACCCTGCAATCTGCTGTGTTGATGACCACTTATGTAATCCTTGTAACTATCTGCGATTCTGTGTCTACTGCGGTCCAAGAAGGCAATTAGTAACATATCGATCAAACTTGATACAGTTCTTCAACTGAAATGGAACCTAAGCTGCAGTGGTCAAATAGAACCGAATAAATTACCCAACATCTGCTTTGTTTGGCAATTAGGCTTGACACCAGGCAAATAGAATACGTCAAGCCAACTGGCTTAGATGAATCCCCTGCATGGGCACCTAAAACACTCAATTGCGATTAGAATACAAGGGGCTGGGAGGCGTCCACCCGGCCTTTTCACTCGGAGTCCTCCGCCCATTCGATTGATAAGCGTGAACAATGCAAACAAGCGGGCACACAAAATAATAACAAAGAACTCGACGGAAGCCAACTTGTGTTGCTGATTAGAGAGTGGGTTGCTGGGTGATTCAGTGGGTGAGTGTGTGGTCAACAAGTTCAACACCTGTTGGCGGCTACACGACGGTAGATGAACACCAAGCCCAAAGTAAAAGAGCAGCCGTAAACAATGGGAGGCCTGGCAACAGGCAGTCCGAATAATTAACGCCCAGAACCCATGGCAAATGTGCTCACATCACATATGCAATTTGACACCTTAGAAGAGTGTAAGCCAAGTGGAGAGAATATGGTAAATGGAAGCGAATGGAAACGAAAGGCAAGGTAAGCAGAAACTGCATAGGAACACGGACCAGGCGACGCTATCGAAGGCACGCCAAGACGAATTCCACCATACTACATAGGAAATGTATCAAATAGGCACAAAGTAACACGAACCCCAGATACTCTGTGTCAAAGTCGGGCTAAAAGTCCACAAAGTGCTCTCGCTGCCTTAATCGCAGAGCTCGCTTCAAAACAAAAACCAGACAAATGCAGAATTACCTTATAGTTCTGATAATAAGTGGTGCTTATGTAAATTGTGGGCTTATTTAGCCAAAAGATAGAGCATAACATTAACATTAACTAATTAAGAATTAGTTGACCATAGAAACTCATAACAAGAAGTTACTGAAGAGGCAGGCTTTGCACAAGTGTCATTGACCCACAAGGAGATAATTCAAATGTGTATGACTCAGCCAATATACAATATACATTTCGCACCGCTGTGCAAAGTCTTAGTTTTCATTCAATGATTAATTATGCCACATCAACCAACATCGGATGAAACAAGATTATGAGCGTTCGGAATGGAAAATGCGAAATTAGACAGAGTGCAACTCAGCCCGCATTGTGAATTGCAATTCCCGAATGAATCACTAATCAATATTGAGCACTAGCACTCACCCGCTTGCTCCTGTTGTGGTTGTTGCTGCTGCTGTTGCGGAGTGGGTGTTGGTGGCTGCGGAGGTTGGGCCTGAACCAACTGGGCTGGCTGTTCGATTAGCACGGGCGATGTTTGCTGCAGAATGTGATGCGGCGGCGGCAGCAGTGCAGGCTGGACTCCATCCGGTGGGAGGGGCATGGCAGCAGTCCAGGCCACCGGAATAGCGCCTGGTGGCGGAGCTCCGCACTCGCCGAGCTCGTCCTCGTACTGCTGGCGATAAGAAATGTTTAATATGGCGGTTTGCGGCAGCTTCTCTTTAAGCCAGGCCCACTTACCTGTGGCAGCGGACCCGCTCCTGGATGGATTGGCTGCAGTGCGGCCAGCTGACCATCGTCGTAGATCTGCATCACGCCCATTTGGTGCTGCATTTCGTGCATCTGGGGATCGTAGATGGGGTAGTTCGGACTGAGCATGCTCGACGTCTCCGAGGAGGGCAGGGATGAGCTGTTGTGGTTGAGCTCATCAGCTACACTGACGGCACCTCCATTGGGATGTACAGCCACTTGTTGCTGTTGCTGCTGCTGCTGGAGCACTTCAAAGTCCTCTGCGTACATGGGGCCCTGGTGCCAGATCTGGGTCATTCCGCCATCCGGCTGAGCTCCACGTTCATCGACACCCGGCTGGCCAGCGTCTTCTGGTACATACTGGTACTCGGCCGGATGCATCATGGGGTAGATGTACCCACCGTGATTGAACCACGCTGGATTATACATAACCGGTCCCGAGATGAAGAGCGGCGTCCCGGTGGCCTGTTGGGCAGCCGTGGCATTAGGGGGCGGCTGCAGATTCGCATGCTGTGGAGTGAAGTAGGGAGAGGGATACGGCCCGTAGGCGTAGGTAGGCGGCGCAGCGGCGTAGTACTGCTGTAGGTGCTGCATATGGGCCTCTGGCGGCGCCAACTGCTGGCCCATCTGATCCGGCTGAAGTTGCAGCCCGGGATTGGCTCCGTCAGGCGGTGGCAGTTGCTGCTGCGGCGGAAGGTTGATCAAGTGCTGCTGCTGCTGGAGGTGACGTGGCCCATGGTAGTCATTGCGTCGCTGTCCACCTCCACGGGGACGACCGCGTTCTCGCGTCCGTCCACCACCCATTCTAGGAACATGGGGATTCGGGGAGCCGCCCTGGGGTGCCAAATTGATAGGCACAGGCTGCAGGTGCGGCATCACCGTGTTGCCCTGGATGGAATAACAAGTTAGGACGTCAGTAGTGTAGAATATACTAGTAATATGGCTTAGTGATCAGCGAAATTACAGAACAAAGGAATATAGATCCTGTTCTGCTACACCCACCTGGTCCTGAGGCATGTCGCCGTGTCCAATGTAGTGATGCTGACCGCCAGGCGGCATATAAGCCGGAACCCCGTGCGGCCAACCATGCAGGTTCACATTGGCAGTGACGTTGTTCACGTAGACGTGGTTGCTGGGCATCGGAGCGGGGATCATGGCCGGGTAGTGGGCTCCAGCATGGGGGTGTCCACCGTGGGCGGACATGTAGACGGGTGGATTGTACACTGGCTGTCCGGTCGGAGTGAATGCCTGGACGGGGGTCATCAAATTGTTGTTCCCGGATGGTGAGACCAGGGTGCTGTTGTTGTGGTTGTTGTTGTTGTTGTTGTTGCCATTGCCATTATTGCTGGGTCCGCCGCTCACGCCAGACGGCTGGGGCGTCGAGGGCGTTGAGATGGGCGTGGCTGCTCCTCCGCCTGCCGCGCCGGAGGATCCCGCCGTCGTGGAAGCCGACGTCGACGTGGACGCCATGGCTTTGAAGCCAAAAGTGAGAAACTTGGCTCAGATCCCAATTGGATGTACTTGCGGATGTAGACGAGTCTCAAGAGTCGCAGCAGGCGCCAAACATTGAAATTGGTTGCTGATCGGGAAGAAATCGGGATTACTATTTCATTCAAGAAGCTAATTATATAAGACTTGGTAATCAATATCCATCAAGCACGGATCCCAAAGGGAGAGAATAACTCAACTATTACTGTCCCCTAGTTAAAATAAAATTAATATAAAGTATGAGGGCATGAGGGTAAAAATTCAAAACATTCCTATAGACAAGACCAACTGTTGATCACTATGGGTGATTTTACAAAATGTGAAGTGTAAGTTGAGATATAAAAGATCGAATAAGAAACTTTAATTAGAACACTAACGTATGTGGCTAAAGCGCACGATTTCATTATATTTTTTTTCGACACAGGTTAAATTCTAATTAAATGCGATTTTCAATTCACGCCACTCCGCGTGCCGCAGTCCGAAAAGCGATCTGGCAACGCTGCACAGCTGTCGGTGTAATAAGAAAATCAAATAAACAAAAGCAGTACAGACGCATTATTCCAATGGGGCATAAAATGGAGACGCATTAAAAACCCATATTTATCAAACAAAACTAACTGCAGGCGATTAAAGTACCCGTTTTCTGGACAATTTTGTGGTGCCACACGCCGCCCGCTAGAGATGAGTAATTGCAACGATTCGCCGGCTCACGTAAATATCGGTCACGAATGTAACAGGTTCAAAGGGCTTTTTTAATGGGTTTTTCTGGATTAAAAGTGGGTCGTGGAATGTGAAATGACTTGGGCATAGAAACTTGCCGTTCATCTGAGCACTAACGTAGCATTTCTCAGCATTTGCAGGCATTTCTTGCTCTGCTTGGGGAGTACAAAAATTACTCATCTCTGCCGAACACAACACACACACCAGCACGCACGCACTCACACACACGCACGCATGCACACACACGGAGAGGCAGGGCAAATGAAAGAAATTGGAAAATATCGTTTGCTGGAAAGTGAAAAGTCCATAATACCCTAGAAGTTGCCAGGTTTACTGCCAGACTTTGTGCTACAAGGTTTATGTAAACGGAGTTTGCCGGGTGTTCGCTGTTATTTTGGGGCTAATTTGAGGGGCGGTGAGGCGGGTGTATCGAACGTACCTTTTGTTGAGTGGCCAATTGAGATCAATTTTGCAATTTGATCATATTTTATGCGTGCGGCAATCTCTCTCTTCTGCTCGCTCCGCTCGCTCTCTCCTGCTCTCTCTTTCTCCGCGGTGCCACGATAATTCCGCAACTTTTTACACGCTGCTGCTCTAAATTCTGCTGCTTTTGCTGCCACAAACTAACACTGAAGCGGGCAGTTGCGCGGGGTCACAGGTCACGGGGCACGGGCGAGAGGTCACCGGTTAACACGGCACTCGGCGATCCCTTTTTTGCTGCGGGCCACAAACGTTTTATTGTTCTTTATTTTTCGGCCGAAAAACCTTCCTGCTACCAGGGTTGTCGCACATCGATGACAGTGCGACAATCGGCGGCGCGAGCTATCGATGGCCAGGGCGGCCACCCGCGGCGCCATCAAGTGCAGCCTGTGGCAACGCTGTGAAAAAGTGGCGGGCAAATTTGAATGCATGACTATGTTATTAAAACGTGCGTTCGACAATAAAAATCTAAGTTCATATATTAGACACACATTGTTTGCTTTTATTTATGCAATATTAAACATGCAATGAACAATTATACAAAAATTCGCTGCACATCAACAGAGACTCGTGTTCGGCCTTCCATTTAAACCAACTCGGGCATTTTGAATTTTAGGGTTTCTGTGGATTTTCAACATCTATGGAACGAGAAACGCTGTAATTGCATGTATTACAAATAAACACTCAGATCTATAATCGTATAGGTACATATAATGTTGTTATGTGGGGATTAACACTGAGAAAGCGTAGAACTAATCATATATGTGTATCGAACTTAATCCGTGTTCCGATTGCTTTTCATTGACATCCTTTCCATTCGCCGTTGACCAATTTCGTAAATCAATTTGCCTAATCAGTCTTTACTATAAGCTGATTGTACTTTTTACAGGGTATGCGCAAATCTGGCATTTATTTGGCCTCGCCCTCGTAATTAGATCGTTGTGAGTACACATCCTCGTAGAGATTAGCATTAACAGTAACAGTAACCCAAGATATGGGATCGTAATAACGTGATATATCTCATATTCTAACAATAGGAAGACTAGTGCCGACAGCTGCGATCAAAATAATATGTCAATGTGTTTTTCAAGATGTTTTGAGTCACAGAGATGGTTTGATTTTGTAGCTCTTTGAATATTGAAAACTATAGATCTGTAACACCTGTAATTATTTCGATCGCAACTGAAGTTATTCGTTTAATAACATCAGTTTATCAAGTTAATAGACGTCGTTGAAGATTCGTTAGTTGATTGCTTAGGCCCGAGGCAACACAGAGATAATTGCTGGTATATATATAACACTTATCTAGGTACGATCTAGGGGTTATAAAAATAAACGACACGCACACGCACAAAAATACATATACAAACATCAATCGAGTTGCTAAAGTAATTGTCGATGGCTGCTAGTTAAACGCTATGAAGTGGATGTATCATTCGATCCTAGGGATCCTGATCCTGGATTGATTCAGTTGCTTGTGGATTGCCCGGTGGGGGAGGAGGAGGTGGGGGAGGAGAGGGCGGGGCAGTGGGATGCAGTTCATCCGCATCTATTTCGATCTCAATAGAGTTCTCCCGCTCCGTGATCTCCGGCATTTTGAGGGAGAAGCTGCTCAACTTTCGCTCCGCGGATCCCAAGGAGCTCTGGGAGTCGGCTTTCAGCAAAGTGGTCCTCCGCTCATTTATGACCCTCAGTGAATCGTACATCTGCTCATCCGCACTGCCACACCCACCGTTTCCAGCCAATCCCCTTTCCATGGACCGTATGTAGAAAACGGAATCATCCCGCTCGTTCGGCACCCCCTTTTTGGGTCTGTAGAACTGGCGGGAACTATTGCTCCTGTATAGCGGATTGGCCACTGGCCTCTCATCTTCCTCCTGCTCGCTGCGCGCGATGGGCAGGAATCCCGGACGAGCCTTTTTCGGCGGCAAGCTGCTCGTGTGGTGCTGTAGCTCGGTGATCTCCTCGTAGGACGTCTTGGGCTGTGTGGTCTCCTCCTGCTCCTCCGACTGATCCAAACTTTCCTCGGGAACGGCTGGCTCCATGCTGGATTGGCACGACAGCTGTCGCACCGGGGGTGGTGGCTCTGAGCATACGGATAACTGACTCCTATAAGGAAATCCGAGTTCAAATCGCAGGTTCCGGTTTTGCCGGCAAAAGCTCGTCGTATGTGGGAAGGTAATTTAAAGAGATACAAGAAGAACTTACCGAAACTCCTTCTCCACGGAGGGCGTGGCCGATGGACCGGAGCTGTAGCGCTTGGGCGAACGGAGAATGGATTTTGGCATCACCTCGGGACTATGAAGATCCACCTGAACGCGCCGAGACTCGATACTGGATGTTCGACTGGCGATGGAAGCACAGCGAGCCGTCCAGCGGCCGCTGTACGAGGAGTCCGACATGGTAGAGTTCCTGTAAATAATGGTACATGGTATATGCTATAGTCTTCTGGGTAACATGAATTTACCGTCTGTGTCCCAGCGGACTGCGACTGTGATCCCGCGCCTCCTCCTGCTCAATGGGTCGTTGCCGGGAAAGGACGTGCCGCTTGGCGGTGTCCGAGCGCTTGTTCCGCTCACTGCGCTTCTCGGCGCCAGAACTCATGCCCAATCCGGGCGGAGGATTGCTGCCGCCGTCAAAGGAGGAGGCCTGCCAGTAGACTCGACTGGCAGCTGGGGGCTGGAGCAGGGAGCACTCCCTGGTGGCCCTCTGGATCAGGCTGGAGGAATTGCTGATGATCCGGGCCGACGAAGAGGAGCCAGCTCCTCCGCCTCCTCCTCCGGATGGATGCGATCCCGCTCCCAAGCCCGGACGCACTTGGCGCACTCGGCGCACACTGCTGCTTGAGGATTTTTGGTGGTGGTGGTGGTGGTGCGAGTGGCGGTGGTGGTGGCGACGGTGACGGCGGTGCGAGCAATACAGTTCCCAATCCAACGGCGACAATCGATTCAGTGAGAGCAAATTGTAGTAATTAGTGGAGACTGTGGTGGTTGGGTTTTGGTGGTTTTGGTGGTTTGTGGCAGTGGTGGAGTTGGTGGTATTAGCATGAGCATGGGATCCGGACAAATCCGGAGCGGAACCAGCCCCCGAAAGGCGGCGCCACTGGGGACTAAAGCGATTGGATGCACTGATGGTTGGCGGAAGCGGGATGCGGATGCGGATTTCAGATTTCAGATTTCGGATAGCGAAAAGCGGGCGGTAAGAGCGAGAAACAGCCAATCGTATAAGTGAATTTCGATATATACAAATAATTTAGGTTCTGTTCCCAATGCGGTGATCTTCCCAAATAGCCCACAACTGTACCTGAGTGACCTGGAGAACTGGACCAGTTCGGCGGTGAGTGCCTCGCGATCGAATGGCTGCTGCGGATGTGAGTGCTGATGCGGATGCGTGGTGGAGATGCAGGCGGTCTGCGGCTGCTGGTGAGGATCGCCCGGCGAGGAGCGGAACACCCCGAAGTGCTGGTCCCAGCGACTCGACTGGTACTGCGCACCTAGAGGTCATTCAAGTTTCCAATATATCAGAAATATATATTCCTTCATCCGAAAGAAGGAGTGTGTGAGGTACTTACCCATCCCGCGACGCTGTGACGCGGAGCTGCCCTGGTTGCTCCGCGAGGGATTCTTGCTGCTGCCCCCTGCTCCAGCTCTCAATCGTGCTGGAACGACCTTAGCGGCGGAGTCCCGGGCCTCGAAGGTCATCACGCAGGAGGCCACCACGATGAAGCCGCCGAAACCCATGACAATGGGGCCCACGTACGCGAAGTTGTTCAGGTGGAAGCCCTTCAGGTCGTTCTTCACCCGCACCGTGACATTGCCCCGCAACTCGGAGCCCATCGATAGGTGATCCGCATAGTAGCCCAGAGTGGCCATTCCGGCGCCGAGAAGCATCAGGGTGAGGCCCAGAATCAAGGCGCGACAGGCGTGCCACAGGCACTTGGAGGACATCTTGCCGCGCACCACCTGGACGTTCCATGTGGCGCCGGAGGCAGGATGAGCCCGTCGCAGGTTACCCAGCGAGTGCTTCCTCTTGGTGGTGCCACCACCACCGCGACGGGAGGGCATCGCGACTGCTGTTCAATTCGCTTGGCCCGAATCGGGTGTCATCAATTCCTGGTTCCTGGAAGAGATCATGTCGGCATTTCATTCGCAGTTATCTAGCAGCTGAAAAATCTCCTATGAATTCTTCATACACAGTCCCACGAACAAGTGGAGATGTAGGAGAGTAGACACTCCCAAGCCCACTCCCATCGCCCCACCTGTTGCCCGTGGAAGGTCACAATGCACTCTCTATGCGGTGCTCACGGCTGTTTGCAGAAGTGGAGGTGGGAGGTGGCATCCAGAGGTGGAGGACCACCGGTGCAGCCAGCGAGTGCCGAACAATTAAAATCCGAGGCACAATGCCAGCGACGAGAATAGCTGAAGCGGCTGACAACCGCGTGACGGGGCTCAAGGAATGGCCAGAAGAATGGCCGGCGCTCCTTCAAGGGCCCACAGTCGACTAAGCCGCAATTAAAGCCAAACAAAACGCAGAAAAGCCCGATAACAAGGTCCGCTGGTTTGTTTTCCACGAGTGCCGTGCTTGACACGCCTGGCCCGAGAATCTGCTTAAATTTAGACATCTGTATATGCCCCACTTGACTTGTGGCAGGGAACATATCTTAGAATAGGTTATACTTACAATGCTAAAATACTATTGTGCTATAATGCACCTTTATTAAAAGCGAAAGCTTACGAGCTGCGTGCCATTTTTAAGACCCAAAACGGCATACACACATTTTTAGGAATTTCGAACTGGCAGCAAACCGCTCTCAACAACGCAGAGGCAAGGATAAATTAAATATGCATGCAAGCCAAGTGCACCTCATGTATATTTCATTTTTGCAGCATTAATTTTGCCGTGAATGCTGCTCTATTTCATGGATTTAAGGGGAGTTGGGTTTAAAGAATGGGATTTATATAGCTGTGCCACAGAAAACTGAAAGGCGTTTGTAAGCATGCAACAAATATCTAAAGGATTCAGAGCCGTTGCAACTTTCACTGAAAACCTTTCCTTACTTTCCTTCACTTCACCCACTTGAAAGGCACCTTAGTTCGAATGGAAGTGGCTATAAGGCTACTAGCCCCCAATTTCCCTGCAGTCTATGAGGTCTAGGAAAACTGGCAAGGACTGTAGGACGGCATTTGGTGGCTTACTTGTTGGTTCGTTCTTGCAACGCCGTGGTCCTCGCTCCTGTTGATGCTGCGAGAGCCTTTTGTGTGACCTAAAAGCAGATTTGCCTGCGCTCCGTCTGTATGTATCCTGTGTGCTGGCAAGTGCATATATTTTCGCGACTTTGAGTGTGAAAAGCCCACTTGTCATCGTCCTGGCTGCCCTTTGAACTTGCACGCCAGCATTGTGGCTGCCGACCCACCTGTCACTGGATTCCGGCGACTGCTAATTGGGAATGCGATTAATTTTCACAGGTGAAGCACTGGTTCCCGCAGGCTGTGTCTGCCTTTTCCCGATCAACCACTCTGGGTTTTGGCAGCTGGGCGAGACGTCTGCACACGAGCAGCTTCCGCGCGCGTCTGATAAGACGAGCTCCATCTGAAGCTGAAGTCCGAGATACCAGCGACACAACAGAGGCCAATCATCCCCCGAGTGTCCCCTACAACGACTGTGCTGCGAACTGGTCTAAACGGACAGTGGAGACTCGCGTTGACTAACTTGTTATCAGAAATCTCCCAAGTTTGAACTTCGTTCTTTAATATAAATCGCACTGCGTGGGAAAACGATGTCAAGGGGTTTTTACTGTGCTCTAAATAAGTGGCGCCCTCTGCTGTAGCACAGCGCATTTATGGAAAGTTTGTTATACTGCACTGCTTGCTTAACCACAAACTTTACTGCTATACAAATCCCAGGAAATAACACTGCTTTATGGCATCGCGTTAACAAATAATCACAAGCTTAAGACACGGCTTAAGACAAATAATTGTTATGGATAAAAAAATGTGTGATGAAGAAGTGGGTTCCTAACGAAGCAGTAGACACAGTGGACATGGATAATGTATTTCTGCACACCTTAGGAACTGACTGCTTTAAACTGCTTATTCCGAAAGGAAATCCCCCAGACAAGCACCCCTCGCAAACTCCGAAAGGTGAGTCCTTGGGAAAGTCCTGGAGCCACCACAGCGGGGAAAAACTGAACGAAAGAAGGACATGCGCAGACGGGAAATGAGAGAGCATCCTGTGGTGAAGCCGAGAACAGGACGAGCAGGACGAGCAGGACATTAACAACAATTGGGACCCAGTTCCTTAAGCAGTCATTGGCAAAGCCTTCAATCGCGTAGACGTTCTTCGCAAAGAACCGGATGCCGAGAATTCCGTACTCCCGATTTCGACCAAGTCGGTGTCGTCTATTTGGTGCGTGATGCAGTTCGAGCCGTCCCAGCGAGCTGCCTTCGTTTCGGTTTCGGTATCGGTGCATCTGAAGAATGCATGAGGATTAGGTCCGCTGCCCAATGCATTTCCTTCAGATCCTGTCCGGATCCAATCCTTGTGTCCTTCCTCCGCTCGGTGTCCCCTGTGCATATTGTAGTCGGTCGTGTGTGTACCAGTGAGCCCCGAAAGTGTGTGAATCCCGAATATAATGTGAATCAACTGAAAGTGTAGAAATCGTAACGATCGTTCCTAGAGCACATGTTACGCTAATCAATAGGATATCCCAGCTTTATGTGAGTTAATCAAGTTGATATTTACGTGACGCCCAACCCAAACCGAGAAGGCAGGCAAAGACAAATGGCCAAAGTGCGTGAGACGCCATAGGTGACCCCGAAAGGTGACCCAAAAAAGGGGCATGAGTCGGCGATAAAGAAATCGAGTCCAATGCAGTTTGTTACAGCCGACTACGCCAGATTGCAAAATGCGTTTGAATGAACCAGCTGCAAGAACGCGACCCGGAACTAAATCAACGCAAGAAGCCACCAAGCTCTCATCATCCAGGGGTGACCTTCACCTCGAATGCTCCGTGCCCAACCTGATCAGGCTGCTCCTCCTCATCACAACGATCATGGGCGGCGGACTCGTCCAGGCCAAGACCATTTACGACTCGGTGAACCGGATTCAGCCGCTGGATGCCCTGGTGGAGTCCCGGGAAACGTCTAAGGTTCCCCTGCCCACTACGCCAGCCACGCCCACTGCCCACGCCCACGCACACATCCAGGTGTCCACGTTACGGAGTAGTTACGGTAGGCAAATTGCGAAATTGCTACTTGCAGCTTTGAATGCGGTTAATGCATAATTATATAATTGGTTTTCAATTATCCTGCTGACTCAATTGTTTCGCAGCCATTGTACTTGCAATCATCGTGTCCGAAATACCTCCTAGAATTCCATATACCCTTGGCTCAACCACTTGAAAGGACACCTCTTCTAGGTACTGGGAGTTGTGATTTCCGAAAGGAGGTCAGCATAATCAGGGTTATTCAAATGAAAGCAAAGGGGTTACTACGAAATACTGCGAAGTGAAAGTGAGTGTAAAGTTAAAGTAATGTTCCTGTTTTGGGTGCAGAAGCGCCCAATTTTAAAGTTTCTCAGGGCGTGAGAAATTATAAGAAGCTCCCTTTCTTGGTATCATACATACATTTGTTTAACTGGAAGTAGTGTGAAGTACCACAATTTTGCAGTTCTCCTTTTCTTGGCATAAAAATGATTATACGTGTTAAATAACTAATTTTCTTCGTAAAGTGTACAAATGACATATTTTTCGTGATTTAATTCATGAGGAGGAGTTGTTAAATATTCTTAAATGTTGTTTTGAAACTTTCTGCTCACTTTCCTATGACCCAAAAACCTCCAAGTTGAAGCCTTTTATTTGCGGAATCAAACCGACCGAATTCGATTTTCTAAACAGAATATTCCACTTTGCTAAATATCAATACATCCGGTGACTGCGAAATATTTATTTGTTTAGCTTTGGGGCAGCAAACTAAACATTTGTGTTGTCCCAGTGTATCCGCAGCGAACAAACAAACTCCCCCACTCATATCGGCCAACTTGGCATTAGCATATAGACAAAAAGCAATGCACACAGCTGGGGGCAAAATACTAGGTGTGATTAGTGTATTGTGATGCATGCAACTAATTGGGAATTTCGAATTGCGTTCGTCAGTGGTTAATCAACACCAATTTGCATAGAGAGTTTAAGTGAGTTAAAAAATGAGTATCAAGCGATTATAATTTAAATGTAAATCCAATTTATAAAGATAGGAAAAAATTTAATTTTGTAAAGATATATAAAAAACTTAGTTTCAGCAATTTGCATAGAGAGTTTAAGTGAGTTAAAAAATGAGTGTCCAGCAATTATAATTTAAATGTAAATCCAATTTATAAAGATAGGAAAACATTTAATTTGGTAAGAAATATACAAATTCAATTTCACATGTGGAATCGTATAATTTAAAAAGTATAGATAAAATGCTATTTTTGTGAACATACCTGTACGCACACTCGAGTGCTTGAGCAATGTCATCAATTCTCCCGCCCACATCGCCACTGTCCTCCTCCGAAAACCAAGACATAGATTCAACCGAAATCAATAACTCCTTTGCAGAGGATTCAGATGAAGGCGTGGATGGCGATTATGTCATCCCAGAGAGTCAGACCTCAGCGGTGGCGATCCTGGACCAGGATGCCCTTCCGAAGGGCCAGGACCTGGAGTCGTTATCCCTGCAGGCGGGATCGGGCACAGCTGCCCCAAAGAGCAGCTCCGATTCTTCCGGACACAAGAAGAGCGCCTCCTTCCAGCAGATTGGCAGCCAGCATGTAAACGCCTTAGTGCCGGCCACAGTGGCCACCACTTCATCCGGCATACCGTCGAGCAGCAACGCCTCCTTGGCCACGCCCACGGAGCCGGCGAGGAATCGGAGCACCGGCCTCGTCCGCAACTCCGCCGTCAAGGTGGACAGCAAGCATCCACTGTCCAAGGGCCAGAAGACGGACGCGCCCATGCTGAACTACATCTTCGACACGTTCTCGTCGGCCAACAAGCACCACCACCACGATCAGAGGTGAGTTGGATCAGACCAGTGGGAATAGATCTTATAGGCGGAAAAGTAGCTACAGCATAAAGTCGAGCTGATTCCGTGTCTGTGCAGGTATGGCCCCCACTTCGAGGATGTGCAGCGCATTGGTCAGGCCACCAATCTCACCGTGCAGGCCGGCTCCAGCATCCACCTGAACTGCAGGATCTCGCTGCTGCAGGATAAGACTGTAAGTTTGGATTGTGAACCCCGCATCGCCTTAGGATACGACTTGATTTTGATGATTCGTTTGAGGTTTCCATTTAGCTCCTTTATAGTGGATGGATTTTCCGCTGAAAACTGACCATGCATCCTTTCCACTTTGAACGCAGGTCTCTTGGGTGCGGCACAACACTCAGGACGAGGGCAAGGACCAAGGCAACGCCCTGGACCTGCTGACGGTGGGCATGCACACGTACACGGGTGACAAGCGCTACAAGATGGAGTTCCAGTACCCCAACAACTGGCGACTGAAGATAACCAATGTGAAGAAGGACGACGAGGCCATATACGAATGCCAGATCTCAACGCATCCGCCCCGCGTCATTCAGATCAACCTGCACGTGAATGGTGGGTATCCAACTCTCTCTCCCTGAAGGGCACTTAGAAATGACTTAACGCAGCTCCGAAAGTAATGATCGTGGACGAGGTGGGGGATCCGCTCCAGGAGAAGTACTACGAGATCGACTCCACGCTGCAGCTGTCCTGCGTGGTGCGGAACGTGGCCATGACCAGTTCGGTGGTCTTCTGGAAGCACATGGACAACATCCTCAACTACGACGTAACTCGCGGGGGAGTCAGGTGAGTGGGCTACCTTGGGCCTGGTCGGGATCGCCATATAAGCTCGTCTCCCTCTCCCTCTCTTAGCGTCAAAACGGAACTGATGGAGGATGGAGCCAACTCGACGCTCTCGATAGCGAAGATCAGCAAAACGGATTCCGGGAACTACACGTGCTCCATCAGCGAGTTCCAGAACTTCACCATAGTGGTGCACATTCTGAACGGTGAGTAGGGTCACCAGCTTACTAACGAACCCATGTCATCTGCCTTCTCCTTCCAGGCGAGAGCTTCGCCGAACTGCATCATGGTGGTGCGGGCGGGCTGCGGAGCACGTGGTGGCAGCTGGTGATGCTGCATGCAGTGGCACTCCTTGTGCTAAATAGTCTAAGGGGGGAGTTTAGCTAAGGTAGCTTAACTAGGACTAAATAAATGAGAGAACACCGTTTTCCCGTAGCTCTTTTTGTTGATTAATTGTAAAGATTCTGAATTGGACGGGGCAGTTATTGGAAATAACTTAAAACGCAGCCTAAGTTGAACTGGCTATTATAGATATGTTTCTACGTCTATCATCAATTTGTACATGAGCAGGCACGCCTAGGATTAAGCTAGCTTTAAGGATTAGGCTCGAGTGTATTTCAAGTCCGGAGAGAGGCCAACGAATTTCACTAGCAGAATCTCACAGAGTCAGAGTCACAGAGTCAGAGTTCATGGTCTGGCCTAGATCTAAATCTAGTTGATACAGGAATGTAAAGCGTAGTGTAGTCTAAGTCACCACCCGTTCACTATCACAGCTTTTGCGGCAAGGATCTGAGCTGCTGTGGGAACTACTCAATGTTGAACTAGTATAAAGTGCAATACGGTCATATACATATTATATACAGACACACACGCGGCAGAAGCATCAAATGATATGTTAATAAACGAATACTCGTATGTATGCAATAATAAAGTGAACTATACATGAATCCAACTGCATTTGAGTTTCCAACGGACGGGAGCATTACTTATGCAGATATATAGGAATATATCTTTTTAATTCATATAGTTTTACAAACAATATTCTATTATCTAAACCGCAGCTGGCTTGTTTCACTCACAAACCACTACCTGTTTGTTCCTCAATTGCTTTTAATCAGCACTTTCGAAATATATGTACAGACCGAAATAGTTGAAAAGATTAACCGATGGGCTTGGTCCAAAAAGCGCCCCAAATGCCTCTAATCTAATCGCTATAAAGACCATTTGCCATTCATATCTCCTGTGTTTAAAAATAGGCGTCTAAAGCCGCTGAGATAGAAACTTTAACCATATTTACAATTTCGCCTTGTTTTTGCGGCTGGCAAAGTCCATGATGGCCTGGAAGAATTCGGGATGCTGGAACTGCTGGAGCAGCTGCTTGCACTCCGCCTCGTTGGCCTTGATGAGATTCTCCACGAAGCCCTCCTTGATGAGGCGCTTTCCTTGCAGAAGGGAGTTCGTGGGCAGCTCGGAGTACTGGCGCAGTTTGGGCCAGATCAGCGACTCCAATTCGCTGGCCTTAAAGATCCGCGACACAAAGTTGAATTGGTAGGCCTCCTGGGCGCTCAGGGGTTCGTTTAGCAGCAGCACTTCCGACGCCTTGGAGCGCCCCAGGATCAGGGGCAGCATATAGGAGGAACCGCCCTCTGGCACCAGGCCCAGCTTGGTGAATGGCGTGTAGAAGTAGGCCTAGAATGTGTTCACTGGTCAGGTCATGGTGCCATAAGTGTGGAGCCATACTCACCGTTTCGGAGCACCAGGCCACATCACACAATCCCACAATGGTGGCTCCAATCCCGATGGCAGGTCCATTGACCAAGGCAAGCACTATCTTCCTGCAGTTGACGAAGCTCAGCACCATGGCCTTCAAGTAGGGATTGCATTAAACACAAAGTAGACGGGGGACATACAGATATCCAACCTTGAAAGTCGCATTGGACTGCTTGAAGAAGGCGTCGATGTCGTCGGATTTGGAGGATTGGGACAAGTCGTTGCCGGCCGTGAAGATGTCGCCCACGCCGGTGAAAACCAGAATGGTCACGCCCTCGTCGTCGTTTACCTCGGTCAGGACGCGGGTCATCTCCTGGTAGGCGAACCTGTTGATGCAGTTCTTCTTCTTCGGATTGTTGAACTTGGCCACGAGCAGCTTGCCCTGCTGCTCCACCAGTAGCTCCTTGTAGCCTTGGTACGACATCTTGGCGCAAGTGCTCCACGCAGAATGAGCGCCAAAGTCCAATTAGTTGATCATTTTACTCTGATTGCCGGTTGCTTTTGTTGTTAAATTCTCCGATTACTGGGCATCAGGGGTATTCCCACGCCATAATGTTGACACGACTGAGGGTAGCCGATAGTTGGTTCAGGGAAATGGCATTATGTTTTCTTGAACCGACAAAATATACATTATTTCAAAGTTTAAATAAGTTATTATAGATAGCCATATTATATATATGTTATATATTGCTTATTTAGTAGCTTCCACTTCCCCAACTATTTTATGCCAGCGCGATCTGGCAACTCTGCACTGGGCGTCACATTCAAAACCGCCGCAGTGAAAAAAAACTTTAGTTTTATTCCTCTTTTCCTGTACAACATTCATCTTATGAGCAATACTGGTTATTCGCTAATCTCATCGATCACGGGCACATTTTGCAACTCGGAGCACTTTCGTTTCCACAAGGCCAGTTGTTCCCTCAGCACCTTTTCCTTGGCGGCAGCACGGGTCAAAAGCACTTTGGCCTTCTGCAGCAGCTGCGTCTTCTTCACCAGCTGCTCCTTGATGAACTTGAGCTCCTCGTTGGCAGCGTCCTGTTCAAATTCCAAACACAATTATTGTATTAATGAAGGTATTTTGGTTGGTACCCACCTTGCTGCGTCCACCGCATTGGCTGCACTTGGTCCGCTTCTGCAGCTCCTGCTGCAGAGCTCTTATTTTGTCCAGCGCCTCTGCATGCTGCTGCTGCAGACGTGCCGCCTCTGCAGGAGTGGAGTCCGTGGAGCTGCGGGACTCCGTGGATCGCCGACCATCCTTCAGGAACTTGTTCTCCGATCGCAACTTCTCCACGAGATTGCGCAGCGATAGGATCGTCTGCTCCGCCGATTGGCCCTGATTGGTGCTCACTTTGAGGCCACTGCACTTGCACAACTCTCGACGGGATTCGTTGCGAGCCATCTCCTCCTTGAGCGCGATGATGTAGCTGCAAAAAGTGTGTATAAGTGCCGATTCATCAGCCTGATGTCTACTTACTCCTCCAAGTGCTTGATCCGTTTCTGCAGCCGGTCGCTGCTGTCGCCCTGCCTCAAGAGATCGGAGTCCAGCTGCAGCTGGAGGTTCCTGGCCTCCAGCCGGATGTTCTGGGCCTCGATGGCCTGGCAGCGTTCCTGCAGCTTTTCCAGCTCCGTGGTCAGGGCATTGCTGCCCCTGCCCTCCAGTTCCATGGCGATGATCTTGCGCTGCTGCAGCTCAATGCGCGACTTGAGCGCCTCTATGAGGTCCACCTGACTCTGATCGAAGATCTGGGCGTGATGATGCGCCGGAGAGCTGCACTCGCTGCTGGGACCCGTGTAGGTCTCCGGACTCTCCGAAGGCGAGGGCGCGAACTTGCTGACACCCACATGCTGGAGATTCGGACAGGACGGAGTGCGGCAGCACTTGAGATTATTGCCACCAGAACTGTTGCTCGAGGGACCGTTCCTGCCCAGCTTGGACTCGAGCATTTGCTTGTCCTTTTCCAAACGGGCAATCGTGGTGCGGGCTCCCTGGAGTAGGGCTCGGGTCTTTTCCAGCGCCAGCTCGGTCTCCTCCAGCCTGGCCTTGGTCTTCTCCGCCTGCTGTTGGTACCGCTTCTGCTTCTCCCACAGCTGCACCTCATTGGCACTGCGCGTGCGCTTGGCCTCCAGGAGCGCCTGCTGTCGCTGCAGTTGGCCACGCGCCTCGTCCAAGTCCAGTTCCAGCTGCTGGATTCGCTTCTGCTGGTTCTCGTTCTTCACGCGGGCATTCAGCTCCGTTTTGATAGAGACCACTGGGCGCTTGAGTAGCTGCTGGCGAAGCGACTGACTGAGATCCCTGGCTTGTTTTTCGCGCTGGGTGACGTTGGCCAGCTGGCGGCGCAGTGCCTCCATCTGGGTGTGATAGATCTTGTTGGTGGCCTCGGTGCGGTTGAGATCGGCAGCCAGTTTGGCTATCTGGTCCTCCGAGAAGTTCGAGGTGTCTTTGATATAGCGCTGCTGGTCGTCCTGCGGGTTACAAATTTGTATAATAGAGATGTGTATATTGGTATAGCGAAACATTACGTGGAAGTTCTTGAGCGTGTCCATCAGATCCTTGATGTGCTTGTCCTTCTCATCCAGAAAGATGCGTAGCTGGTCCAGTTCGGGACTCACGGCGCTCTCGACCGACTTCTCCCGCTCCTGGCACAGCTTCAACCTGCCATTCAAGGGATTAACATCAAGCAGAACTATTAACTTTACAACCTACTTCTCTTTTAGTATGTCCACTTCCTCCTCCCTGGTCTTGAGGCTCCTTTCGCTGTACTCCAGCTTATCCTTGAGCTCCTTGATTTGCTTGTGCAGCGTCGGCACTTCCTTCAGCTCCTCTGTGTCCTGCTTTTCCTGCTCGCCCTCGGGCTCTTCGGCAACTATGCTTTCTGGAACCGCACCCACATGCACCTCCGTCTCTTCTTGGGGTCTGTCCACTGAGCTGCTCTCAAAGAGTTCCTCGATCTTCTCATCCGTCAGCTCGTTGACCGAGCTGTCCGAACTGGAGCTGGAGCTCGAATCCGTCGTCGAGTTGCGCTCTACCGGTACCTCGGGCTTCTGTTTCAGCTGCTCCCGGAGGCTCTGAATCTCTGCATCCTTCGTCTTGATGTTGAAGTTCAGGTTGTTCACAGTGGCCCTGAGGGATTCGTTTTCGGCCAGCTGCTTGCTAAGTGCCTGCTGACTCTGATCTCGCTCGGTCTGCAGAAGGTCCTGGTACTTCTGGATGGACTGGTCCTTCTCCAGGAGCAGGGTGTGGAACGAGAGTATGGTCTTCTCCACCACCCCACCGTGGGGACTCTCGGACTCGCGACTCTCCGATCTGGAAGCCTCCAACTGCTTGCCTAGCACCTCGATGCGCTGATTGGCTTCCTGGAGGCTGTTGGGGATCACCATTTATAGTTAATTTGTTTTTTCTTACTTGGGTACTCACGTTTCTTGCATTTTCTCTAGCTCCGCGCGTGAATCTCTCCTGCTGTCCTCCACTGCCTCCGCTGTCTGAACCGCTTGATTCTGCTGGCCAGGAATGCCATTTGTTTGGACCGCCGTCTCCGAGAAGTTGACTGGCGCCTCCAGCGTCTGCGTGGCCGTGTCCAGGTGCGGATGTTTTCGGAGCGGAGATCCAATGGGCGAGGATTCCCTGTCTATCAACTGGACTGCCCTTCTCATGGCCGGAATGGGAGCCATCGCGTCCGTGTTGGTCTCCGCATCCGCCATGGGTTGCCTTCTTGGCCCTCCGTCACCGAACAAGGCTTGAATGGTGCTCCAGTGCTCGGTGTCGGTGGCCTGGCTTATCCGCAACTCTCCCAACTCCCGAAGGAGTTCCTCCTGTTTGGCCTGCAGGATCTCGCAACGCTGTTCCAGGAGTCTAGCCTGCGTTTCAGACTTTATGAGCTTCACCAGCTGCTGGGAACTTTCCTCGTTGAGCCCAATTTCCGCCTGGACCACAGCGGTCACTTCGTCAGCCAGGGCGGTGTGGTCCCTCTGTCGCTGCTGCACTTGCTCCTCCTCCAGACGGCGCTGGAACTTTTGGTAGGCGAACACAAAGTTGGTGAGGAAGACCAGTGGCGTGAATTTGGCATATTTATCTTTGAGCATAAACAGTGAATGCTGGAGGAATCTGTAGGACAAGGTGGAAAGTTAGATCTGATCGGGTTTATCCACCACTGGCTCTTACTTGTGCTTAATATCGCTATTGGTGCGCTCCTGCTGGAAGTCCTGGTGTGCCTGCTTCAGGGATGACTCGCTGGTCTCCAGTTGCGATTGCAGGGAGTCCGCCTTCAGCTGCATTTTCTCGCGCTCTGTTTCCAAGCGGGAGCACTCAGCTTTTACTGGAAGAAGGGTTATGCAATGGCCAATCCCTTTTAAGAACAAGTGTGTGCTTACCACTATCCAAGTCCCTCTGCACCTTGGCCAGCATCAGCTTCTCGTCGCAGCTGCTCTGAAGATCGGCCACCAGGTGACGCAGATTGATGTGGTTATCCGTGATCTCGTTGAGCAGCTTTTGCTGGGAGTGAATCTGCGAAGAGGACGGCTATTAAACCTTCCATGGGTGGCTATTGGGGAGGATCACCAACCTGTTCATTGGCTACTTGGAGCAGACCTTCCAGCTGCTTGCTCTCCCTCTGCAGCTCCGCCTGCTTGGTCTTCCAAGTGAGCAGCTCCTGCTGCTGCTTCTCGAAGTCCCCGGCTGTGATGAAGTCCAGCTGATAGTTCTCCCTGATTATTCCGTACTCTGCACATATTTCCGTGGGCTTCAGCTCGCCCAGCAGCTGCTCCACCGCCTGACCCAGCTGCATGCTCAATATGGCGTTCCTGTGCTCCAGCTTCTGCTGCTCCTCCGCAGAGTATGGGTTCCTTCGATGCGCTTTCTCCAATTCCTCTCGTGCTCCCAATAGTTCACACTTGAGCCGCTCCAACTGCCTGGCTAGAGATGCCTGCTCATCTATGAAGCGGAGTTCCTTTTTTCTGCTCTCCGTTAGCAGTTCATCGTAATCCCTGCGCATGTAGGTGTAAGACATCCGCTGCTTCTCCAGCTGCAACTCCAATGCGATCAGTTGGTCGTGCAGCTGCTGGTTCTGGTTCAGCAGATCACTGCCATCGGCGGACATATGAAGACGCAGTTCGTCGTAGTGCTTGCGCAGAATGGAGAGCTCGGCCAGGGCCTCGTTGCGCGGTTTCTCCTCGGGATCTGGCACTGTGGGTCTGCGTAATCCCTGCGTGGCTTCAGTGGGCGAACTTGGCCTGGTGGCTGTGTTCACCACTGCATCCTCCTCGACAGGTTGCTCCTCTGCGATGTCGGGAATCTCACACAGGCTGTGCACTGAGGACAGTTCTCCCGTCTCGGAGTCACTGTAGTTCTGCTGCTGGAGCAGTTGACGCAGTGCCTCCTCTCGGGCCTTCAGCTCCAACAGTTGACCCTGGAGTCGCTGCGGCGTGGTCGTTCCGCCGGGAAGAGCTTCGATCAGGCGGCGCAAGAGATCGGAATCGATGGTGATGTGCTCCGAGGTGGCTACATGGATAATGCGGCGATTTCATATAAATAATTCATCAAAAAGTGTTGCTTACCATCGTATTCCCGCAACTTCTCCAGTATCTCGTACATGCCCGAGCGCAGCGTTTCATTTTCGGCCAGGACTTCGTCGTAGCGGTTCTGCATCTCGGAACTGGCTGCTCCGTCGCCTTGGCCACGTCTGGGCGAATTCTCCAGGGGCACACTATGGGGCACTTCACCCACTTCGCTGGGCGCCTGCAGGGATTCGTTCAAGGGCTGCGGGCCATCCTGCTGCAGCTCCATGAGCTTCCGCCTGGGAATAGGAGTGTTTAAAGTGTTCCAAAGTGCGAGAGACTTGCCAACCCACCTCAGTTCGCTCTTTTCCAGTTTCAGTTGCAGACGCAACTCCTCGGATGTCCTCAGCTTGAGGGTCAGTCGCTCGATCTGCTTGTCCTTGTTGCGCTGCTTGGCATGGACGTTCTTGGCCATGATGACCACGTCGTCGGGTATGTGAAGCTGGCGCCGCAGAATCTCGTTCTCCTGGACCACCTCGTGCAGGGAGTTCAGCTCCTGGATGTAGCCCCTCAGCTGCTTGTCGCGTGCCGCCAGCTTCTGCTCCAATCCCGAGCAGCGGCGCAGGGCAGGAATCAGGCCATCTTCTTCCCGCTTGTAGGACTCCAGGGCACTTATGGCGTGCAGGGCCTGCTTGGATTTGAGAACGTTGTCCTGCTCGGCCGCCTCCAGCATCTCCGAGAGCTGCTGACTCCGGGCAGTGGCTGCCCGCAGGCGCTCCTCGATCAACTGGCAGCAAGCTCGCGGCTGCTCGGGATCGTGGGCACGCTCCTTCTCCTGGCACAACTGGTTCATCACCCTCGTGGAGCTGGCCATCTCCTCCGCCATCGACTTGATCTTCGCCTCCAGCTTCTCGATGCGCTGTTCCCGGGATTCTAAAAGCTGCGCAGGATGAACGATTAGGAAACACTATGGATCAAGATCACAAGTTCCCACTCACATGTCGCAGCTTGATGTGCTCCTCCTCCTGCTGACTCTGACTACTGAAGGAATTGGTTTGGGCAGAGCTGATGCTTTTGCCCTCCAGTTGTTTCTTGAGACGTTCCAGCTCCTTGTCCCGATCCTCGAGTGCCTGCCGCCAGCCCAGCGACTTGGTCTCGTACTTGTCCAGGAACTGTCGCATTTCCAGCTCCTGCTTTTCGCGCTCCACCTCCAGGAAGGTAACATTTCCCTCCAGGCGCGTGATTTCCAGGGCCTGCTGCTGCTCCCTTTGCTTCAGGGACTTGCGCTCCTGTTCCACCTTGGTGATGTCCTGGCTGAGTTGCACAAGGTTCGCCTTGATGCTCTGCAGCTCCCGTTCGTGGAGGACTATGGTCTTCGACTGAGCTATGTTTTGGTTTTGAAGTGTCTGGACGGGAATAAGTACTTTGTAAGTTATTCCTTTGGAAGTTACCATGTGACTCACCTCGATTTCCTTCAGCAGCCGCTTGATGTGCTTGTTCTTGGAGTCGATGTTCTGGAGCAGCTGCTCCTGCTTGTCCAGCTCGGACAGGGGATCCGATGAGTCCTTGTCGCTGACCTCCGCCTGCTGGGCCGCCTCCCTCAGGCGCAGCTCCAACTGGCGGATTTGCTCCCCTAACTAATGCAGCCATGAGTTTGGGCACTTTACATAATCTACTGCTCACCTCCTTGGCCTTGCTCTTGAGGCCATCGCGTTCGTCCTCCAGCCTCTGGAGCATTCGCTTCAGCTTCTCATTCTCGTCCTGCAGGCGGCGGTCGGAGGAGGTTCCTCCGCTTGCTGCTTCCTGCAACTGCTGAACCTGCTCGCCCTTGTACTCCAAAACGGCGAGGGTGAGCTCCAGGGTCTTCCTCAGCGACTTCTTGGGCAGCTCATCGATGGACTCGGCCAGTTCGAGGAGCGTTTCGTAGAGCTCCTGCCTCTGGCGCGCCGAAAAGTCGCGGAACTTGCGCAGCGATACGGTTTCTGGTATGTCCATGCTCGTGCTCATCCTGGTGGCTCATGGCCTCGCTCCTCGGCGGTCAATCGCGTTCTGCGTGAAAATATTCCCCGATTCGCCACAGCAACTCTCCAGTTTTCCGTCCCGTTTTCAATTTCCGAGCGGTTGCCATGACATTTGGGCCACAACAAACTGCGACCGAGCAACCCGCTCAGGGGGTTGGCTGTCCGGAAACGACGAGGGTGCCGCCGGCTCCTTTTCAAGTGACCTGGCCGGCCTTTGTTTTTGCTGGCATTCTGTTTTGCTAGCTGCTTCGGCTGCGTAAAAAGTTTCCTGACAGGATAATTGCCTCCTGGGCGTCTCCACCGGCAAGGTGGATTGGCGGTAGGAGCAGCCGATGGCCCACCACAAACAAAAATGGCAATCGGTAACCAGGAAAGTGTTAATTGGCAAAGTGTCAAAGGCCGCGTTCTGAAATTGAAAAGCCATTTCTGCTCAGAGCGACTGCTCCTCCGCCTTCTGGCTAACTTTGACTACACTCGAAAAATATTGTACCTTCTTCTGACTAGAAAATAGCTTATAAAGCTGTTTAAAACAAAGTATATTGTTGCATACCTCTGGGTGCATTATTTTTGTATACTTTCGAGCTAATTTCCTGTTTTCAGTGCCCTCACGAACTCATTCTCCTCTCGAAACTCATCGAGCTGCCAGCAGCACTACGTTTGTCTACATGTGTAAGAATAATTGAAGCTAATGGCAAACGACTTTGGTTGCCCTCACATTTGTGGAGTGACAGCTGGCCAAAAATTGAAACTGATACTCGGCATTGGGAACGGCCAATTATCCTGGCAGCTTTTTGGCCATTTAATAACCACCCGAATCGAATGGGTTGGATGAACTCACACTTGCACTGCTAAGTCACATTCCACGTAGAAATCTACCCTTTTTCAGACGCAGTTTTCCAATCTGATTACTGTTTTATTACGCATTCAGTTAAGGCCAAGTTCCAGTTTACCGATTTGGCTACACGCAGCGCAGTCCCTTGTGGCTCTTCGCATCCATTTGCAGCAGCATAAGTTCGTAGGTCACCAGGGTGGCTAGCATCTGGAGAGGATTGTTACATTTATGAAGTGCAGCTTGAAAATTGCAGTTTACCCACTCCGAAAAGACTCCTTCTTGTCAGGCAGAAGAGGCGATATCCGGACAATCCGACAAACTCGCTGGTGAGTTGGTACGCGAATCTCTGCACCTCCTGAGACCAGCCATCTCTGGGCACAAAGTACAGGGACCTCAGGGGCAAAAGCGCGGCATCGTGGATCTTGGAGGCCGTCATGAAAACCAGACTGGTCCTGGCCAGCAGGAAGATCAGCGAGTACCAGAAGTAAACGTAGTTTATGGGATGGCGCAGTTTGCTGAACGGGTTTGAAAAGATGGAGAGCTACAAAAACTATCAGGGTTTCTAGATTAAGTATCTAAATCTTATAAACTTGAGACACCTTAATGCAGGATTTAAAAAATATATGGCTCACGTGAAAATAGCTAAAGCCTGGTTGCAGATCACATATACGTTATTTGCACAAGATACGAACACTATGCTCGACATACTGGACTCCACCAAACTGGCCAGCTCGCAGAGGCGAATATGATCCCTACGGATATCGTACCAAAGGGCTTCGGGAACTTGCTGAATGGCAAAGTGGTTCGGTAAGGAAATACTTGGAAACATTTCTAGACTATATTACACGACCCTCCAAGGCGCCCACTCGATCGGCAAACTGCTGAAACCTCTGCGCCAATCCAATACTGGTCATGACAATAAAGACGTCCAGGAAGTTCCACAAAAAGGTAAGCGCTCCATTTATCCACTAGGAGAAAGAGCATTATTTAAACAGCAGTAAGTACATGGACTTCAAACATGTGGAAATGCTCTTAGTACTCACAAATCCGTAGCAAATGGTAAAAATGTTGCAGGGCATGATGAACATGATGTCGGCGAACTCCTTCTCCAAGTAAAACGCAAAGGTGATCCGCGAGTGGTTTGTGTGGCACTGCAGGATGTGCGTGCTGTAGCTGCAGTATCCAGAGGCATAGTACAGCATGTGGTCGCCTGAAAGGGAGCTCTGCTGAAAGCCATTGAAGGGATACGCCGATGAACTCACCTAATGCCAGGACGCCCACGCACAGAGCAGTGAAGTTGACCTTTGACCGAAGGCTTCGCTTGCAACGTTTGTACGGGGGAAGGAGCATCAGTATGTCCAGGGAACTCCACGGCAGCATTATGTGCGACCAGGAGCGAGCGAAGCCCACGAAGTTCAGCCAGTTGACCAAGCCCACGATGAGGAAGACCAACCCAACTATGTTGCTTTCAGTTGCGTTTGGGATCAGCTTACCCTACCATCTCGAACTCACCCATATTCTTGGCATTCAGACCCGCGGTGAAGAGAATATTGGCACCAACCAAGGTCTTGATTCCACCGAGTAGCAGGAAGAGACCGGTGACTGCCAGGCCGACGCTCCGCACCTTGAACTTCACATCCTGGGGATCGCGACTCCGGATATTCGCCAAAGGCATGATGCCGAAGAACTGGGCCACGCAGAGATCTATTGTAAAGCAAACTTTTAGACGCATATATAAGAAATTTGAAGAGGGTGCTTCACATGGCCTGATGGCTCCGTAGAAGGTGTCCAGCTGCTCGAACTCCAATCCTCCCTGGGCGCAGCGCCATCTCGTGGCCAGAACAGCCCTCTGCTGCTGACGCCGCACTTTCAGTTGCCGCCGGATGTGCTCCGAAGTGCTCGACATGCTCCTGAGCTCTGGCCGCCAGTAATCCCACTTCCCAGGGCCCCGTCTCATAATTGTTGTTTACAACCGCAGCCAGCTTAGTCTAAAACCCCTAATTAGTGGCACTTTGGGCACACAAAGCCATTCTGGGCATAAAACTCCGCCCACGAAAAGCTTGGCACCTATTTCAATTCCGCGCCAGTGCAAAAAACATCTGCCCCGTGGAAGGACGCACTCGGAATACTGGAAAAACGCAGCTACGGTTTTTAAGTTACTTAGAAGAGTGCCTAGAAGCCTCCTTACCTCTGCTTTACCGCCATTACGTATCAAACTAATATATTTTTAAATAAATGCAAAACATCGATTAAGAACCGTTTGGCTATCGATATAATCAAAACTTGCAAATAAAATCTGGCAACGCCGAGTGTAAGCAAAAAGGTAAACAAATAATAGTTAGGCATTTTATGGATACTGGGTTTCTGGAGCTGACGAAGCTGCTGCCCCGCTGGGTGGATCTGGAAAATGTGGTCCAGCATGAGGTCGAGGCGCGCTATATACTCAAAAGAGCCGCGGATCACTGGGCCAGCTTTCAATCCAGAGGAGATTCCGGCGCGGAGGAAACCGGATATCTAGTATGTGCGCTGGTGGACAGGAACTGGGAACGCATTCACACAGGGCACTTCAGCCAGGTTGCCTTGGCCACAAGGAAGATATATGCCATAGCCTGTTGCTTCAAGGTGCGATTTAGATGTTGTCCAAGGCACCCAAATTAAAAGTACATTTTTTAGATTTTTTTCCTGCTCCTGGAGAGCACTAGTCCTGCCCAGAAGGATGCGTGCAGCGAGATCCTGGATGAGGCTCAACTCTTGGGCTGCTTGGAGGACTGGAGTGAACTGAAAGTCGCCCTAATGGATTATCTCGACAAGGGTGCAGCCGCAGCAACGAATTCCGAAACACTTCCAACTCTGGAGCCATTAACCCGAGTATCCTCTACCTGTGATATACCCCAACTGGATGCTCCCAGTCTGGAAGAGTTCCAGACAAAGTGCTTCGGGGCAGGACAACCCACACTCCTTCTAAACACCATCCAGCATTGGCCTGCACTGCACAAGTGGCTGGATCTCAATTACATTCTCCAAGTGGCCGGGAATCGCACGGTGCCCATTGAAATAGGTTCCAACTATGCCAGCGATGAGTGGTCCCAGCAGCTGGTGAAGATCCGCGATTTCCTGAGCAGACAGTTCGGCAAGGATACTAGCAAGGCTGGCCAGAATATTGAGTATCTCGCCCAGCACGAGCTCTTCTCCCAGATACCAGCCCTCAAAGAGGATATATCCATTCCCGACTACTGCACCATTGGCAACGGAGATGCCCCAGGAGCTGTGGACATCAAAGCCTGGCTGGGTCCAGCTGGAACCATTTCACCCATGCACTACGATCCCAAGCACAACTTACTGTGCCAGGTATTCGGCTCCAAGCGGATCATCCTAGCTGCTCCCGAAGACACTGACAATCTGTATCCCCACGAAAGTGAGTTCCTAGCCAATACAGCTCGCATAGATGCTGCTCAACTGGATCCTGAAACGTATCCCTTGGTAGCAAAGGCGAAATTCTACCAGCTGCTCCTCCAACCCGGTGATTGCTTGTACATGCCACCCAAGTGGTGGCACTACGTGAGATCTGAAGCTCCTAGCTTTTCTGTAAGCTTCTGGTGGGAGTAAGCATTTTAGAGGAGTAAGGTTCATGTAGGATTTATGTTTACATGTTTAAGTATGGAGTTTACCAAAGTTTACAAAAACTACATATGTTGAAACACGATAGACTACTAAATCGTTAAAATATAAACGCTGTTATCATCGTATTTATACAAATTTGATAGAATTTCTCGGTAATCATCAACGAATCATATGAAATGGAATGAAACGGAATGCCTCCGATTTCTAAGCGCCGATTGACCTGCAAGCAAACAAGCAGGTTGCGTCTGACGTCATTGCCGTGTACTATCAGCCATGATGTGGACTATTCGCCTGGAGATGAATCATCGATTCGATCACAACTGGAGGGGTACTTTTTGGTTGTTCTTTTAATAGCCACGACGCTTTTTGTGTGTGTTACTGTGGCGAACTTAACACATACGAATTAAATACAAAACTTCAGGCGAAACGAACATTAAGGGGACCATTATCAATATCGCTATCAAATGGTATAGTTGTGTGAATGAGGATTAACATTAAAATGTGTGCTGTTTATCGATTTGAAATCGTTATAATCTTTTAAATGTGCCTGCTTTCGCTGCCCCACCGCCATGCTTATAAGTCTTATCGTTATTTAAATGTTGGACTTGGATCCAGAGAGTTTAATCATCCTTGTTTCCGGCTCCGCCGATAGTTATCTGCTTCTGCAGCTTGCTGTACTCCTCGGTGAGTCGGTCGTACTCGCGGTTAATGCTCTCCGCCTGGGACTTGACCGCCTCCTTGTCCTTCTTCTCGCGGTTCAACTCGGAGGTCAGCTCCTGGACGCGCTCACGCAGCTTGTTGAGCTGCAAGAATCGGATTTCGTTTGAGATTCGATTGGGTTTTTGTTCGGTTTGGGTGTTTGGGAATGGATATGAGGTGTGGGCTCTAGGTGGGGATACTTAGGACACTCGGGCGGTGAGTCCTTGCACACGTCTCCGCAGTCTTGACAGCTGTTTAAAGAGTTAACAATAGGTTTAAACTTTCGAGTAGTGGCTTCTGTTTATCAATGCCCAACATTTGTTTGTTTGGGTGTGATTTCAAAACGTTCAGCTGCGGTCAAAACAAAAGCAGTAAGCCTATGACAAATGTGGCGATCTCCAAACGGATTTAAGTCAAACATATTAATCATTTTATAGTATTTTAAGGTATTTGCATATCTTACTTAAAGTTTCTTATCTTAAATTGACAGCATTTTAAGCCACTTCATATCTCATATTCATTTAAAATAGAGAAAATTTTCCACAAGGAGAATATAATGGAAACTGTCACGCTAAAATTGCTATATTTTGACCACACCTTCTATATGCATTGCCATATCTTTACAGCTGGTAGTAGCCAATTGAACTCCAAAGTCTTAGGTGTTAGCTCTCTAGACATGCCATTCCCGGGGATCGTATGCAGGTGCTTGGGACGTAAACTCACCTCGATGAGAGTGGTATCCTCGCCGGCTTCCTTGGCCTTCTCGGTCTTCTTGTCCTCCATCAGTGATCTTGCGGCTGCAGTGGCGCTCTGTGCCTGCTTCATGGAGGCCTCGCTCTGGGCCAGCAGATTGGCCTGGACGCAGATCAAGTTCACCAACCGACGGATGACCAGAGCCAGGAAAATGGCGAATCCGGAGATGTAGAAGTTACGCTGGGCACGGAACATCTTCATGCTGTGCTGCATCTCCACGTTCAAGTGCACCTCGTTGGAATCCTGCAAGCCCGAGTACTTCCTCATCTCGCGAATGGACTCCAGCAGGAATATGACCAGCATGCCCATGATCAGGATGAAGTATAAGTGCGCCTGCTGTCCCAGCATCGAAAGGAATTTGGACTTGAAGAACCGGTTCCAGCGGTAAGGACTGGCCACCGGCAGAACCAGCAGGAGCACCAGTGCGATTTCCGCATAGAGAAATCCGGCGATCAAAGTCCACACCAAACTCATTTTTAATGTTTAATTATTTCCTCTTTTTCTCTTCTTCGCTTCTTCGTTTATTCGATTTCTTCGCTTCTTCGATTTCTTCACTTTTTCGTCTGCCGCCTGCAAGCAAAAAATGCGTCCAAATTAGCAGCTAGTTCTACGGATTCCGGACGGACGATCTAGTGGCTATTAATAGACTACTGCCGGAGTGGCCGCTGCTTACTTTAAATAGCAATAATTAAATCGCTGCCGTGATGAAATATGCGAATACTTTATGGTGTCACTGCGCCGGCCACGTCAACTCAGCTTTATTGTGTACGAACGGGGCTGCCAACTCGCGCACCGGAACCAACTGTAAATGGGGTAGCCAGAAAATATCTGAATTAATTCAAATTAGGTTTATAAAATAAAAATTAAATTATATAAACGTTTAATTATAAGTAAGTTAAAATATTACAAGATGTAATACCTAATTTGAACCATAATTGACCATTCCCTGCATATCTTACAACACAGTTCTACTATATGCAATTTTTAAAACATTATTTCGGTAATACAAAATTGTACATATATTAGAGGCTTATCAATACATTGAATTATAATATTACTATTATTATAAAATTCAATAATAATTACAATAAAACCAACGCGGTGGCAACCCTGCGTGCGATGTAAACAAACGGACAGCTGGGTTGCCAGGTTTCTATAGCAATGTGCTTCTCAAAAAACTTTCAACTTTGCGCCATCGATCAAATTTTCTGCCCCGCTCAGTTGATATTTTCTGTTCCCCGGAGACGTGTGCATAGGTACACCCCCAAGTCCCAGAGATGTCCTACCAGAACTGGCTGAACTACCTGCAGGCGGCGGAGAAGAACTCGATGATCAGCGGCCGCGCGCGCAAGGTGCTCTACAAATTTCCGGACGGAAGGCAGATGGCCGAGGAGTACAACATGGAGACGGGCATCGTGCAGCGGAGGGCGTGGAAATCCAAGAGCAACAAGATCATGGGCGAGGCGGACTGGGAAATCGAGCTGGGCGAGGAGCCGCGTCAGCTGAACTGGTCCGGGAACAAGCCAGCAGGATCTGGCGAAGAAACGGACTCCTTAGCCGGCGGAGATTTCACACTGCGGGAGAGCAACACCGCTCCAATGCTGACCAAGCGGATCACCAAGAAGAACATCGAGTGGCGCATCCGCAACATGCCCTATTCTCTGGACACCTACAGTGTAACCGCCGATCCCGAAAAGCGGGCCATTGTCGTGCGCACCTCGAACAAGAAGTACTACAAGGTCATCCCGGTTCCGGAACTGGACCGCTGTGGGGTCAAGCCCGCCCAGCAGAGCCTCTCTGTGCACCACCAGTTCAACACCCTGATCATAACCTACCAGAAACCAGCTATCCTCTGCGAGATGGAGGCGCAGGTATTGCTTCTACTCAAAAATGTCGAGACCGAGACCGACATGGATGATCTGCTGAAGGGCCTGATGGCCAAATAAACGACTTAGATTGTAATACAGAAAGTTGCGGTTTATATTTAGTGTAGAAGTGTTGATTTCTTTCAATTCAACACTTCCTTTTACATAGTTCAGTGGTTTATCAAAGTATTATTGCACACTTTAGTGTGAATACCCAAAAATATGCTTTACAAGGTATCTGCAAAAAAGCTTGAAATGAAGAACATGCCTAAAATTAAATCCTAATCACGACTCAAAGGGCACTGTATACAACGAGATCTCTCAAGTTAACTGAAGTTGTACAAATGGATCTTAACTAGAAAACAGCCAGAAACAGCATTCCTATGCCTATTTCTGGAAGCTCTCAGCCATGCCGGCATAGCTGGCCAGCGAAGGAGCCGAGGAGCTGGTGAATAAGCTGTAGTCGAAGGAGGGCAGCTCCAGGGGAGCCAAGGAGGGCAAGTCCAGGTCCCCGCTGCCCGCCAGCCGTTGATCATAGGGATCGCGTGCCTGCTCCTCCTCGGCAGAGTCGCTGTTCTTCAGCGTCTCCATTTGGGGCTCCGAATTGGCCAGTGTGTTGGAGGCCTTCGGCGCCAGAGATGAGGTAAACTTGGCATCGAAGTCCTGCACTGTTTTGTCGATTGCCTTGGCCACGGATTGGGCAGATCCTCCTGCGCCACTTGCTCCGGCTTCCGGGCGCAGGGGCAACATGGGACTGGTTTCCTTCAGGGGAGCATAGTCCTTCAACTTGTTCAAGCCGTGCTGCGTTTTTCGCATCTCGATTTGACGCAGCTTGCGCTGAAAATCGAGGGTCAATGTGTCCAGAACTTCCTTGGATTTGGGCAGAGCCACCCGCTTTTGGGCATCCTGCATGTAGATTAGGGATGTTTCCAGCGCTTTAATGGCCTCCTCATAGCGGTGATTGCGTATGAAGCGCTCCGACCTTCGCTCGTGGAAATGAGCCTTTGGTTTAGGCAAATAATTGCATTTAAATCCATTTAAATTAAAGTTTACTGCAGGTTCTTACCAAGTTTAGTGGTGCGCAGTCCATGTTTTTGGCTGTTTTCTCGTACTGATTCAAATTTATATGGTTGCGCTTATAATTGTTAAGTTCTCAGCCACTCAAATTTCAATAATTATATTCCAGATTGCATTGTTTCCTATTTTCTGCAAGCAAAATGTCTATTCTTTTTCAAGAACGCAGTTCCCAAAATTTCACTTTGTTTACATATGTTTTATGCGCGCGGTATGGCAGCTCTGTCCTCAAAACAATCGATAAGTCGCACGTATCGTTTTAAATCTTGCAAATCAATCGAATTCAAATCGTGGCTTTATTTCTTTTCAAAAAAGTATACGTTTAATGAAGGCTTTTTATTTAATAATTATAACATCTTTTGTAGAGCAGTTTTTGAAAAAATCACATAAAATATATCTAAATAGTCAACGCCTACGGGCTTTTAAAGCGGTCTTCCCGTTGCCTGTTTACCTTCGGTAAGTGCAACTGAAGCATGCACAAATACAGGCACATTGATACCCTGCAATGCACAGGCATTAAAGTCAGGCCAAAATATCAAAATATTCCTTCGTACATACCTGCATTTTAGCTGATCTCACAAAGGCCTTATTGGAAGTCACAGTAAAAATTTGTCTGGCCATGCCGAAACTAAAGATTTTCAGACTTCGCTCGTTTACGTTGGCAGTGAAACGAATGTGGGAGAACTCATCGGGTATAGTTTCCACGTCCGGGTAAACGGTGACCCGCTTCATCAGTTCCTCGGCTCGTTTCCTTTCGCCCTCGCCGCCGACAATATCCAAAATGCTCTGGAAGGCCTCGTAGGCCAGCTGGCAGCAGACCAAGGTTTTGCCCTCTAGGATTTTCTCTAGCAGCGGTTTCAACGGCGAGGCTCTTTCCCTCTCTGCCTGTTCGGTGAGCAGGGGCTCCTTGTAGACCCAATTGGCGGATCCGTTGGTCAGGGCACTCACGTAGGCCAGCAGGGTGGTCACATCTAGATTCAGTTCATTGGAGGTTGTGGCATACAAATCCAAGTCGGTATCTGGCGAGTCCAAGGAAGCGGTTTGCACACCCATTTCCATGAGCTCCTCGTGCAGGGAATCCTCGATTTTGTTGGAGAAGTAAAACACTATCTGAAAGGTAGTATAAAAGGAGGTGAATGGTGGTTAGCATAGCACATTAGGAGGCATTACCTTTGGCCTCTGGAACATGCAGAAACTCAGTTCGCTGGCCTCCAGATAATCCTCCGCCTGGTCTATGACACTGCGGGCTCCGATGCTGACACATCCCCTGGCCGCGTCCTCGACGGATTTCGAGTTCCTGGCTATCACCTTCACCCACTTGAGGCCATTGTTGGCCACAATGTCGACTCTCAGGGGATTATCCCTAGATTCCAGGCGGAAGACGGCGTTGATATCGACTACTCCTTGTTGCAAGCGCAGAGTTTTAATGAGAAAATCGTAGTATACAAAGTTACTGCTGGTTATGTGGTGTTCCTTCACGGACTTGGTCGTTATCACCTTGAAGGAAATGCATTTATTTTAAGTTTTCGCCGTGAAAGAGATGCACCAAACCTTATTTAGAAACTTGAGCTCTTGCTGAATTTTTCGCTGCACTTTGCTGACGCCGGGAAGATCTTCAAAGTCCTTCAGCGCCTTCTTCAGTTCCTCGCCCAGTTTCACCTTCTTGTGGGCTTCTTCGTAGAGCTTTTCTTGATCCTCTTGCTCTTCCATATTAAAACTGTAGCAATATTTACAAAATTCACAAAATATTTGTTTTCAACTGTCAGCTGTTTCAGGAAGCAAAGATGGCAGCGAAACTCTCGATTTTGCAACACTGGCAATTCCAAAACTAGAGATGTCACGAATCTGAAGTTGGTATATCGATAGACAGTAAACCTATTTACTTTTTAATAATTAATAATTCATATGAACAAATAATAATTTCTATTAGTCTACTGGCATGAACCAACGCTAACTGAACAAAAATTCAAATAGAGCTCGAAAAAGGTTTAAAAAAATTAAGATCTTTGAATTTTCTGCTTTTTCATACCAAATTGCATATTATTTTTCTAGCTTTGAGCGGGTTGATCGGGTTTTTTTTTTCATTTTGGTCCATGCTAATTAACCTAATGCTATTAAGCAGAAAAAACTAATTGGTGACTGATCTAGTTAATTTCTTACAGATCCTTATTGTTTGCTACTATTTCATACCACATTGCATTATATTTTCCTAGCTTTAAAAATAATTTGGTAAATGGTTTTACATGGCTAAGAAACTATTAAAATATCAGATCTGTTTTCATATATCAAATATCTATTTTGTTTTTCTTGAAACTTTTTGTTACGTGGGATTTTAAATTAAAATCAGTCTGAACAGGGCCCAGCATCGATAGTAAGTCGATAGCCGCGCGCTATCGATAAGTCAAGCCACATTTTATGCACCACCATTTTTACTTTTATAATTCTTTTACTTTTTGTCGGCGAACCGAGCAGATGTGAAAATGAAGAGCTCTGCGTAATTAAGAAAATTCGAATCCAAAGGCATCGCTGGTGAAATGTGCTAATTCACCCATTTAACCGGCAGAAGGTAAGCAAATACACGCGATACCACCGATATTTCATATTATTTAAGCGCTTTCCGCACGAAGTATCTCCAGAAATCAGAAATGTCTGTGCTTTGGTCGCATTTGAAGCGTGCTAAACTAAGAAATAAATGCTGCTTACTAGCATCGTTAGGCGACACGACTTTCCATACTGTGGCCATGGTTTTCAAAGTAGTACAATTTCAAACATAAAAACAAAGACATTCACGTGACTTTTGTTTTGTCGGCAACTGTACCTAACCTCAACTGTACCCACTCTCTTGCAGTTGTGGACAAAAGTAAAAGAATTTAGTGCCCACCATGTATCTGTACAACCTGACCCTGCAGAAGGGTACCGGGGTGACCCACGCGGTCCACGGAAACTTCTCCGGCGGCAAGCAGCAGGAGGTGCTCCTGTCGCGTGGCAAGTCGCTGGAGCTACTGCGTCCCGATTCCAACACCGGCAAGGTGCACACCCTGCTCTCCACGGAGATATTCGGCTGCATTCGCGCCCTGATGGCCTTTCGACTGACGGGCGGTACTAAAGGTGAGTTTATCAATTGAAATTCAGCCTATTATCATATAATACGTTACTTGGGAGCACAAATGTTTGGTATAAAGTACCTAAGTAAGCCCAAGGTGCTCCCAGATAATCTATTTAAGTCGCACAAATCCCTATTGAGGCAACACCCTGCTAGTTGACCCCAGTAAGACCTTTGAACACGTCTAAGTGCGAGAGAAACCGAAAGACTTGGCGTCGCATTTGCCATAAACCAGCTCAACGGAATGGCGAATTGAAACTTCGAGTTACAAAGTCAATAAAATGACCCTAGTCGTTAGATAATGTTTATTGTAAGCGCCTAATCTCGAATATCATTACTTTGCCTTGCAGATTACATTGTTGTGGGTTCCGACTCGGGACGCATTGTGATCCTTGAGTATAATGCCTCCAAGAATGCACTCGAAAAAGTGCACCAGGAGACGTTTGGAAAGTCGGGATGTCGCAGGATTGTGCCTGGGCAATACTTTGCCATCGATCCCAAGGGCAGAGCCGTGATGATTGGCGCGGTGGAGAAGCAAAAGCTGGCCTACATCATGAACCGGGACACGCAGGCTCGCCTCACGATCTCATCGCCCCTGGAGGCCCACAAATCGAATACCCTGACATATCACATGGTTGGCGTGGATGTGGGCTTCGATAATCCCATGTTCGCCTGCCTGGAGATCGACTACGAGGAGGCCGACATGGATCCATCGGGTAAGCATCAACTATGTGGCGTGTAGATCCTAGGAGGCGCTTTAATTCACAGGTTTAGTGGATCCACACCACGAACACTGACTGTACTTAGTGCCAGATAAATCGCGATCACTGAACCATTGGTGTTGCTGTAACTGCCTAGCCACACTTCACTGATTTGTGACCCACACTCCAAAATCTCGATAAGGAACATTTTGATAGTCATCAAAATAGTAGTCTTGTTCTGAGAAAACCTTGCCCGTAATCTTGTAGCTAACCAGTGTCGCATCTTTTTGTTGCAGGTGACGCCGCCCAGCGCACTCAGCAAACGCTTACCTTCTACGAGTTGGATCTCGGCCTGAACCACGTGGTTCGCAAATACTCGGAGCCCTTGGAAGAGCACGCCAACTTCTTGGTATCCGTGCCTGGAGGCAACGATGGTCCTTCGGGCGTGCTCATCTGCTCGGAGAACTACCTCACGTACAAGAATCTCGGCGACCAACACGATATCCGCTGTCCCATTCCGCGCAGGAGAAACGATCTGGATGATCCCGAGAGGGGCATGATCTTCATCTGCTCCGCCACGCATCGCACCAAGAGCATGTACTTCTTCTTGCTGCAGACCGAGCAGGGGGACATCTTCAAGATCACGCTGGAAACGGACGATGATGTGGTGTCCGAGATCAAGCTGAAGTACTTCGATACAGTGCCTCCGGCAACTGCCATGTGCGTGCTGAAGACGGGTTTCCTGTTCGTGGCCAGCGAGTTTGGCAACCAGTAAGTATCTACAAAATAATTCAACTATAAATCATATGAATGAATACTAAAGGAAGTGTTTGTGCAACTTCTAGCTATTTGTATCAGATCGCACACCTGGGCGACGACGACGACGAGCCGGAGTTCAGTTCCGCCATGCCTTTGGAGGAGGGTGAAACCTTCTTCTTTGCGCCACGTGCCCTGAAGAACCTGGTGCTGGTGGATGAGCTGCCCTCCTTCGCACCGATCATCACCTCCCAGGTGGCTGATCTGGCCAACGAGGATACCCCGCAATTGTACGTCCTTTGCGGCCGGGGACCTCGTTCCACTTTGCGAGTGCTTCGCCACGGCCTGGAGGTCTCCGAGATGGCCGTTTCCGAGCTGCCCGGTAATCCCAATGCGGTGTGGACTGTGAAGAAACGAGCTGATGGTGAGTGTCTAGGCGCATTAATCATGATTTCTAAGCTAAGATTAGATGTAAGACTGAAACGTGGCTAATAACTCAACTGGTGCATTGATACAGATCGAGATATAGATTACACCTAGCTTTACACACGATTCCAAACAAGTCCCACAAGTTATCAACCACCAGTTCTCTCTTATTTCAGGCGCTTAAACACAGACGGCAATATGTGTGTGAACTATCGAAAAAGACAAGCGATTAAAGAGAATTTCTCTCGTTTGTGTAAATTTTAATTGTCTTTTGTGAAGCGATAGGTAAGGCAACATTTACTGCAGCTCATAAGTCAAACAGATACTACTACTACACCACTGAAAACAGAACAAAGCAAACTATTTTTAAGCCAGTCGGACATTGAACATGATGCGATATTTATCAACCGTGTTTCAGCTGAATTATCCATTGATTACAACTTGATAAACTGATTATTCAATGTCTCATGTGAAACGCAAATCTCCTCTGCTAGCTCAATTCATATGCAAGTACTCACGTTCCAAGTATTGTTTTGTTGCCCTACTTTTAGACGAGTTTGACGCCTACATCATCGTGTCCTTCGTGAACGCCACCCTGGTCTTGAGCATTGGCGAAACCGTCGAGGAAGTCACGGACAGTGGCTTCCTGGGCACCACGCCCACGCTCTGTTGTGCCGCCCTGGGCGACGACGCGCTGGTTCAGGTGTATCCCGATGGCATTCGACACATCCGGTCCGACAAGCGTGTGAACGAGTGGAAGGCTCCGGGCAAGAAGTCCATTACCAAGTGCGCCGTGAATCAGCGCCAGGTGGTCATCACCTTGTCCGGCAGGGAGTTGGTCTACTTCGAAATGGATCCGGTAAGCATTTCATATCACATTCAACTGTTTTGATTTCTTGCTCTGATGACAGAAACACGAAAAGAACAATCATGTTGAGACACTATGTGTCCTGCAGTGCTGAGCTTCTCCATCAACCAAGAGCATTATGCACTACTTAACTCCACGGAACTAATGAATACACTTCATACTTGCAGAGTGGCGAGTTAAACGAGTACACCGAGCGCTCCGAAATGCCTGCTGAGATTATGTGCATGGCCTTGGGCACTGTTCCGGATGGCGAGCAGAGATCCTGGTTCTTGGCCGTTGGCCTGGCGGATAATACCGTGCGTATCCTGTCGCTGGATCCCAACAACTGTCTCACTCCCTGCTCCATGCAAGCCCTGCCCTCGCCGGCCGAATCCCTTTGCCTGGTCGAAATGGGTCACACCGAGAGCACCACGCAGGGAGCCTTGGATGACGATGCGCCCGCTCAGCGCAGTGGCAGCAATAAGGGAACCATTTACCTGAACATTGGCTTGAGCAACGGCGTGCTGCTGCGAACTGTGCTCGATCCAGTTTCGGGCGATTTGGCAGACACCCGCACGAGATATTTGGGCTCCCGACCCGTAAAGCTCTTCCGGATCAAGATGCAGGGAGCCGAAGCGGTGCTGGCCATGTCCAGCCGCACCTGGCTGTCGTACTACCATCAAAATCGATTCCATTTGACTCCCTTGTCCTACGAAACCCTGGAGTACGCTTCTGGCTTCTCCAGCGAACAGTGCAGCGAAGGTATTGTGGCTATATCCACCAACACCTTGAGGATCTTGGCCCTGGAGAAACTGGGTGCCGTCTTCAATCAAGTGGCGTTCCCCCTGCAGTACACGCCACGCACCTTCGTCATCCATCCGGACACGGGCCGCATGTTGATTGCGGAGACCGATCACAACGCCTATACAGAGGACACGAAGAGTGCCCGGAAGGAGCAAATGGCGGAGGAGATGCGCAGTGCAGCGGGCGATGAGGAGAGGGAGTTGGCCCGCGAAATGGCCAATGCTTTTATCAACGAAGTCCTTCCCGAAGACGTCTTCTCGTCGCCCAAGGCAGGACTGGGTCTTTGGGCCTCGCAGATCCGTTGCCTGGACGCCATGCATGGTCAGACGATGTTCAATGTGCCGCTCACCCAAAACGAGGCCATTATGTCCATGGCCATGCTGAAGTTCTCCATAGCAGCCGATGGCCGCTATTACCTGGCTGTGGGTATCGCCAAGGATCTGCAGCTGAATCCCAGGATTTCGCAAGGTGGCTGCATAGATATCTACAAAATAGACCCCACCTGCTCCAGTCTGGAGTTCATGCACCGCACAGAGATCGACGAGATTCCAGGTGCCCTCTGTGGCTTCCAGGGTCGTCTACTGGCTGGCTGCGGTCGAATGCTACGCATCTACGATTTCGGCAAGAAGAAAATGCTGCGCAAGTGCGAGAACAAGCACATTCCCTATCAGATTGTCAATATCCAAGCCATGGGCCATCGTGTTTACGTGTCGGATGTTCAGGAATCTGTGTTTTTCATACGCTATCGTCGCGCGGAGAACCAGCTGATCATATTTGCCGATGACACCCATCCTCGTTGGGTGACGGCCACAACTCTGCTGGACTACGACACCATAGCCATTGCCGATAAATTTGGAAACCTGAGCATTCAGCGATTGCCCCACTCGGTGACCGACGATGTGGATGAGGATCCAACGGGCACCAAGTCTTTGTGGGATCGCGGCCTGCTGTCGGGTGCTTCGCAGAAGTCGGAGAACATTTGCTCCTTCCACGTGGGCGAGATCATCATGTCGCTGCAGAAGGCTACGCTAATTCCTGGAGGATCGGAAGCCCTGATATACGCTACACTAAGTGGCACTGTGGGAGCTTTTGTTCCGTTCACCAGTCGCGAGGACTACGACTTCTTCCAGCACCTGGAGATGCACATGCGCAATGAGAACCCGCCACTTTGTGGACGCGACCATCTCAGCTACAGGAGCTCCTATTATCCGGTCAAAAACGTACTGGATGGCGATCTCTGCGAGCAGTATCTGTCCATTGAGGCAGCCAAGCAGAAAAGCATCGCTGGCGACATGTTCCGCACTCCCAACCAGATCTGCAAGAAACTGGAGGACATTCGCACGCGATACGCCTTCTAAGGTGAGTTGCAATCTATAGGACGTAATGAGTCAGTTGGCTTTTTGTGATGACATGTGAATTTTACCTTGGGACACCTATGAAATGCCTTGATTAGCGTAAACTATAGTATCTGATAAATCACTTTATGAACTCGGCTTTTTTTTAGCTCTTCGAACAGAAAACTAACAATTGTTTTTATTTTGCAGTTACCAGCAAAAGGAAACTACAAACCCATAGGAAACTCTTCTTTTTGACTAGGTAAGTTGGTTTCCATTGTTAAATTGTCAAATTCATATTTGTTTTCAATGATGATTTTCGTTTTTACCTTGGGACACCTATGAAATGCCTTGATTAGTGTAAAGTTATGTTTTTCTGATGACAAATTAAAGCGCTTGTCGTTTAAAAATGAAAGGAATATTATTAAATGTGTATCCTTCCTTTTCTTGCAGTTTCCGTGGGCAAATCCATCAAACGCTGCACCCAAAACGTTTTGAAGGTAAGACATGAAATCGATTAAACTTGCATTTCCTTGGAATTAAACAATGATGTTATTTACATATGTTAGACTAATGAAATGATTTGATTGTAAATTAGTAACTGAGAAAGTTGTTGCATTTTTTATTTGAATACGGAGTACAATTATGTATACTTATTACTGGTTCGTTTAGTAATCTTGTGTTTTCTTTGCAGTTCAATCGGGAAAATTACAATGACCCTACATTAGGACCGTTTTCAAGGTACCTTATCAAATTGTAGACCATTTCAGTTGGAACAAGCTCAATGATGTTATTTTACATATGTTAGACTAATGAAATGATTTGATTGTAATTTAGTAACTGAGCTTACGGCTAAATTAAATGGTCTTTGAAATGTTTATGCTAAATTATATTATTTGCTCTGTTCACTTGCAGATCTTCGCACGTTGGGGTATGTGGCGCTTAGTTGTACTAAATTATACATTAGGTGAGTTGTTAGACAAAGGTACACTTAAATTGAAGCTAACTTGCGTTTTCCTTTGCAGATCGTACATCTATACTAACTGCACATTAAATCACCAATCAACCACTAATCGACTGCCGCATATTTAAACTAGCATAAGTGCACTGCGAATTCGACAATTTGCACAACCTAAATTTAAACCATTAAGTCTAAGCGATTCTTAAATAAAAAGTAACCAAAAACGAAGCGAGGAATGCGAGGTGATTTGTTGTCGGGTTCTGGCGGAGACGACACGCCTTGCATAATGCCACTTGAAGTTGGCCCGTCTTGTTGCGGCCTTATTATGGCCATTACCATGTGTCTTGGCCAATGCGTCTCGGCCTTGTTTGCACTGCTCTTCATTTTCCCGGCACGGAGAGTCCCGTTATGGGACGGCAGATATTTGCTAAACGCCTCGCTTTCCATCCGCCCGGTATGTACGCAAAATCGTTGTAATTTGTTATGTTTCTGCGGCATAAGCACGGTAGTTATGCAAATTGTCTGTCGGCCCGGTCGGTGGTCGATCACTTGCCAAGCGGGCCAAGTGGGGCCAGTGGTGCTCGCTTGGCCGTTTGCTAGCCAACTGTTAGTCTGGGTCACCCATTTTCAAGAATTCATAGCAGAAATCTGAATATCGAAGGAATTGTTAGATAGATATATTACAACTATACTACCTTGTAAATTGTGCTGAGTAAATCAATTTACAGATCCAAAAGCAAATATCTGGGTCACCATTTTGATTCAAAATAGTGGAAGTTAAGATATACCTCTTTAAAACTCACTTTTTTCCCAGGTAAAAATCGAACATCTCTGTCTGAAAATCTTGAATCTTGAAAATCCACAGAAGCAGCCTCTATTGGGAACGCAAAGAGCTGCGCCATCTGGTTAAGCGATTTATTAACTTCATTTCTAGATCATTAGATCGCATAACACGGACATTCATCACTTGGCACTGGTTTTTCTCCCGACTCCCGACTCCTGGCTCTTTTTTTCCGCCTGGCACGCAAGTGCAGTGTGCAATCTGCAGTCTGCAATCTCTAGGCAGCATCTACGCATGCGATTCGCGCCGCCTTTTCTGTTTTGCTCGGCTCCTCTGGCCAGGCGATCTGTGCCTCCGATAAGGACAATCAGCGCTTGGCGCAAACACTTGGCACCCCCAGACAAAGAAGGGCGATGATGGGCCCTGCAACACCTGCCACGCCTCTTCTGCGGCGCCTTGCAGCAGTTGTCGTTCTGGGATTTCTGGGATAGGGGACTCTCGAGGAGATGAGCAGATGCCCAGCTGGCGATAAGACAAAGGCGTCCCCAGTCTGCGAATTTCAGAGTGCTGACTATTTAGCTAGAATAAACTCAGCATATTATCATTTGAATGATATTAGGTACATACTGTTCCTAAAGACTCTCTGCAATGAGAAGCGAGGTAAGAACTTAATAAATATATTTTTAAGAGCGATATGTGAAGAGCAGCTTTTAAATCGGCCAACAATCATGAGGTTGGGAAAATAGCCAGTGATCATCACTGATCCTTTGTTGTCCAGCATTCGGCGATATCAGAGCTTGGGGATCGCAATCTGTAGCCAGATCGCGAATGCGGAGTCCCATTCGCAGATGCTTATCAGCTGGAGTGCCTTGCGTGATAAAATTTCGCACGAAATGCCCCACGATCTGGGCACCTTTGAAGGCAATGGGTGTTAACGCAGCAACTTTTCAGCTGTCCGCCGCTTGCGTGTAAGAATTTCCTGCGAAATTCGCTGCCGGACACGCCGAGATTTTAATCAGATGTCTGGACCCGGAGTCTGGATGGCTGCGTGGCCAGTGGATGCCGCATAGAACAGACTGGGAGCCAGCTAGACCGACACTTTCCCTGTGTGCGAGTGCGAATTAAATGGCCATTCGCGAGTCACGTCTTTTCACAGTTAGCAACTTTATTAAAACTAACGGGCATGGCAAATAATTAAAACGCAGCGCAAAATTGCAAATTGCCTGCCGTGTAATAAATAGAATCATCAGAGTGGCTAGCTGGCTGGCTTCCAAGGGGAGTTCCTGGTACCCGGCCTCATCAGCAGCGCCAACCACATCTTCATCTTTATCTTCAACAACAACAACATCATCATTATCATCAGCGAAAGGCAGCAGCGGCAGCATTATTTTAATTCACTTAGCATCGCTGATGTTGGTTTAGCACACACGCGGAAAATATGGGGGAAAATTAGTGGCCAATAGTCAGCTGAAAAATAAAACGCGAGTTCTTTAGAATCTGTAGAAGCAATCAGAGATTTCATAGAAGTGACAAATTTAGAGAGAGCGCTTCAAATGAATAGTCAAGCAGAGATGGCACGCGAATTCTTCAGAACGCGACGCGGCCGGTGCGTATTTTCGAGTTAAAAGGTATATAATTTCTCGCAGTGCCTGTCTTGGCCCGGCTTCTCTTCTCTTGGCCTTGCGCAGACATGTGAGCTGACTGAATCTGAAGCCAAGACTCCGGCTTTGCGGCCGCTTGCCTGCCAGCTGGACAAACCAATTATAAAGCGTGGAGTTTGATGTGCACGTGTTGGGAGAGATGGCGACTGGGAGAGGCTCCGATCGCGATCTCTAACCCGCGGCGGGCATATCCAATATAAATGTCGGCCAGCGGCCAATTAACGTGCGATAAGAGCTGAGCAGGCGAATTAGCGGCTATCTGGGATCAGCGGGGAAAAGTAGGTGAAAGATGCGAGTGTGGCGATAGAGCTAAGTGGATCACAAGTAATTTCCAAAGCCAAATTAAAGTTGAACTACTACGCTATGTGCCGCATCATATGATGTTGAAAACATTTTTGCCAATGACTTGGCCAGGCTTAAGTGTACCCCACGGAGGTAGTGTGTTTATCTAGTCGTATATGAGCACCTGATCGTTTGCATCACATAAACTGCTGACTGCCAAAGGGGCGGGAGGGGGCAGAGTGACACTCACATGCGGCAGAGCCCCAAGCCCCCAAGTCCACAAGTCCAACACTTGATTGCTGTCAGCAATCTTTCGCCATGATTCAAAAGACGTCGTCGCTGCTTTTGCGGCTTTTATTTTGTGGTTCTTGGGAGCTGACCCCATTCAATGTCATTAACTCGGCCCAAGGTCTGTTTGTTTTTCAGCTAGCCCCGAAGACTCCGGCAATTTCGCATAATTGGCTGAAAATTATGAAACGCTACGAGGCACCACCGATTGCTGCCTCCTCCTCGTTGCGGTGGCATCTTCATTTCAGCCGTTGCCTGGTGAACTCCAGTGAACTCTCTCCTGCAGCCTGCACTGGGAGAAAATCGCCTCCCTTCTACATACATTCTTGTTCCCATGCTATGTGCTGAAATGCGTCCAGAATTTTTGCCACTGCCTGTTCTTTGGCCAGCCTGTCAGCGGCTCGTCGTTCCGGCGAGTCCAACTGTTCGCCCCCGGGCCGAAAACACATCTCCCATCTTCGTGGGTTCGGCTGCTTGGCTGCTCGACTTCCTTTCACCGGCGATCTCAACTGTAAACGTTCCAGTCACTTAGTCAACAATCTGTTGCATCTAATTGTCTCTGCAACAAATTACTCAATTCCAGCTGAATGCTGAAAGGAGATCGGTACTCAGCATCAGCATCAGCATCAGAATCAGCATCAGCATCCGATCTCCAGATGCAGATGCAGATGGACAACGAGAATGGGAACGAGAATGATGAGATCGCAACGACGACCGGCTGGTCGCTCAACAGGTTTGACATAATTTTCACTTTAGTTTGTTTTTAAAAGCACACATTTGCACGCAGCTGAGGGATCCCCATCCACGATCAGTGGATCGCTGCGAGGACGATAATGATAATGATGATGCCGAGTAACTCAATCGCAGAATCCCACATGGTCACCCATCTTCCAGCATCCAGCTCCCATCTCCAGATGAGTCAAACGTGCACTTTAGTGGGCGTGGCGCACTTCCGCAAGTAATTTGCTGCGGTTCTGGTGAGGATCGGGCTGGTGGTCATATAATGGAACATTTTAATGCTGAAACCGATGCTTAAAATCACAGTCATAAGAGAGAAGTGGGCAAAAAGTGTGGCACAGTGGATGGGGTACGCACTTATGCTGAATAAGCCTGATATATTTCCATTAGGTTCTAACATATCACACAAAAACCAGGCATGGTTCCTAATTGAGATGCAGTTACTCAACCCTCTAGATGCCAAAAAGATCAAAATTAGCTAGGTTTTGTGCGCTTTCTGCGCCATCGTACAGCGATGATGGGGACAATAATGGTGCTGTCGAGAGTGCAGTTGCCACAGTCGCAAGATAAATACTTGAGGCAACTTGATCAGTGGCACACGGAGATGATCGTCAGCACAGAACACGAAACATGGCCCAGATGGAACGGATGGCACCGATGGCTGGTTAATGGGCAATGGAGGAGGGTAAAAACTTGCCAACGGAGACACGTCAACAATGAGGCATAAAAACGGGAGCACAGTCGCATGCAACATAATTGAAAGCAATTTGTGGTCCTGAATCTGAGTCTCTGCTCTTTGGGAGCCCGGGCCCCAGTGTCGGCACAAACATTACATTGATTGCCATTGCCCCACACTCGCTGCGCACTTCACCCATGCCCCATTCCCCACCCAGCGAGTCGTCCATCCATCCATCCGTTCATTCATTCATTCATTCACTCACTTGCCCAGCCAGTCACTCACTCACTCGCTCACTCCATCAGTCACACGTGTTGTTTGTCAATCTGGAGCAAGAGGATCGCACACTTGGGCACTGGGAGAAATGCTACTATGATTGGTACGGATTTCCCAATGACCAATCTCTCAAGTCAGCAGAACGACTACTTCGTGTATCACAAGATATTTCAGTACATACTCAGCACGCTTAGTGTACAGTGGTTTCTCTCAGTGCACGGCTGCACGAAATCACCAGAAGCTGAACGGCTGCTCGAGTGGAGCGGAAGTCGCTTAGTTCCGGCGCTAGGCAGTCCATCTTCGCGCTGCTGCCACCTGAAAGGCGCGTTTCCCAGCTGCAGAAGCGCAGATCTTGGATCTTATGGCTAGATGGGGTTGTGTCGGCTGTTACGCAACTGTGGCAATGTCTTTGATTTGTATCTGTGGCCGCGGCCACTTCCAAAAAGTAATTGCAAACAGCTGAGCAGCATGTGCGGCCAGTTGGTTTTCCGTTTTGGAATTGCCTTTCCCAAAATTCCTGAATTGT